CAGCCTCACGAGAGGCGTTTTGAGTTGGGGTAGGTAGAGCCATAAGTGATTTGAGGTCGTAGGTTGCGCAAAGTTGGTGGGGTGGCTCACTCGCTTGCCTGGCTCACTCGCTTGCCAACCATGTTAAGCGAAGATGTCCTTCGATTTTTCGAAGTGATACCTACAACAAGCACATCCGCTTTTCCCGGAGACGTACAGGGACCATCCAAAACGGTCTACAACCCGTCAAAGAGATAACGTGCACATCCATCGGTCCTTCCGAAACCGTACTGACCGCATTTTCTGCGCTACCTGCTGGCAGGTGATCCACTTCCCCACTGTCAATCCTTCCATGATGCAATCGGAACAACGTCTGGTGATAATTGGCCAGTCTTCATCCGATAAACTACCCGTTAACCATTTGGCCCGGGTCCAGGAAGGGCGGATGCCGGCCATGTGGGATGAGGCAGGTACCGACCGGAACCATAAGTCATTCATGCCCTTGCATACAACGGCTTCACTTGGTATGCAGGCCTTCTAGATCAGGCACGAACAACATAGAGTGACGGTTGGGTATGCGCACATCTTTCAATATGGACTGAGCCTCAAGCATGCGCTTGAGGTTGATGCGACAAGGCCTGAGCTCTTGCATGCGTGAGTCGAATCAAGATTCAATCGAGTCGAATCGAATCGAATCGAATCTATCAACCCAATCTTCACTGCCTCAGTATGTCTGTGCCTCAGCCCAAGCCCAAGATCTTTTTTAGGATTGAGAGTCTGCATCTGAAGTCTCTGCCCATGTCTGCACATCGGTTGACCTGCTACACACCACTAGCTCGTACTGATTGGTAGCCAGGCGCATCTTGCGCGACATGCGGTGTAACATCCATGTCCCTCCTTCATTGAACCATCATCTCTTCTTTGACGCACTCTGCATGACTGCCAAGCTCCCGCTAACGATAGCTTCCGCTGTGATTGCCGGGTCTGCCACAGGATTGTGTCGATAGGCCTTCGTATACGGCGTCTAATCTCCAGCTAACGACCCTGCATACTTCCTTCACATCTAGCGTACAGGGTGGATCGCCTGATCAACGTCTCCCGCTTACAGCGAATCACGCCAGATGTCGCTAATGCTGCATCTTACCCGGACTGGACGCGAAGAAACTATCTGCGAGCCTTCTGTCAGCCTCAGAAGAGCGGTCGATAGACGCATCTCTGACGAGACAACAAAGCCCTTGCGTGGATGTTCTCGAAACCCTGCATACATGGCATGCAAGTGGACAGACGAACCTTCAGCGACCCGAGCAAACTTGTTGGTGGAATGTCGGTAGTGCCTGCCAATCATGATCAGCCCTTCAGTCATGTGATCTTCCAGACTCAGCTTATCAACGCCAAAGGTGCCCAAGTGAACTGTGCGACCTCAGATTTCCCGCCTTCTAGAACGACAATGTTTAGTGAGCCATGAGTTCCAGCTTGACAATGCAGCTGCATGTTTCTCTCAATGTGAGATGACGTTCTTTGTCCCTTTCTCCCGCATCCGGTACCCCACGTGTATATGCGTATGTCACATCGCTTGCTTCGCCTCCACACCTTTTTGTCCCCAACCATGAGGTCCAACACACCATCTCAGCTCTGCAGCGTGCCGACACTGCTATTCTTACTACCACCTGGTGAATGGCGTGAGTGATATCGCCATGCACAGACATGACTTGAAAAGAGCGCGAATGTGATTTGGGGGCTGAGAGATGTGATGTGAGTAGTGCTTGAGAATCGGACGCAGATCTGTTGCGGGACGGATATCCAAGGTCTTGTAGCGGTATTGGTCCTGTATCGTGATTATGGCGGCAAGCCCGTGCGAACTCCGACCTACGGTGGCTCCGAGAACCAGCTGAACCGAGAGGTTCACACGTCGAGTTTGCGTATTCTATAATGCCGATCAGAATTCTCCACGGGATGTCTCAAGATCCCTCAGCACCAGCGAGTTTTCACTCGCTGGTGCACCTTCTTGGGTTGTCCGAATACGCCTTGCCCATTTATCCTTGAGCAACGCATCAGCGACAGTGTCGATATATCACGTCGTTTTTGCAACGATCGGAAACACACCTTTGCAGGCGTTACAAATAGCTTATCATGTGATCAATATCGTAGTTCGTGTCTTCTCCGCGTAGCCTGATGAGCACATTTGATGCTTGATGAGTAGATTTGGTGCATCTTCCCGACGTGCTAACACTTCTCTGAACTGCTCTGATCGATACAGACCACATGTATCCACAGACGTCATGTCCTAACTTGGGATCGACCTTTTTTTCTTCGGGCAGAAGTAAGGTTGCAAGTTATCATTAATTTCTCTCCACTCGTGTCCAGAGGTTTTCCTCCCTTCTAGTTCTACTCACACACAAGAAACAGCTTCGTAGACCGGCGCAGTCGGCGTGAACTATTTGGGTAGGAGTTCACCTCGCAGTATGGCACCGGTCCAGGGTATTCCATCTGGCAGCTAAAAAGACGAAAGCGGCAACGATGTGGATCAGGCTAGACCGGGCCTTGCAGTTACAGAGGCAGAGAGTGAGGAGACTGCCTCAGTACAACAGAGTGGTATCTGAAGACCCGCAACGGCAGATCTTTGGAGCTCGGCTTCTCTACGTTCACAGCCAGGAAGGGTTACCCAAAGCGCGATTGCCCTTTAACCCTAGCGTGATCACTGTGATGACGTCCAGGGATTTTGCTTAACATGAGAATGCACCGGAGCGATTGAGAGGAAGCAGGTGAAAAGGTAAGGAGGCGCTCAAGTCTGGCGGCAGTCCAACGATTTGGAATCTTGAGATTTGGATGCATTTGCACTACCTTCTTCAGAATCAGCGTTAGCTCTGAGTCTTGAGAGCATTTACAGCCACTCACGCGTTTCGAAAGATACTTGCAAGTCTCGTATAGCTGCTAGCTCATACGACTTCGGTGCCGTCTTCGAGTCGCAGCAAGGATGCGGTGAAGTTCACCACTGAGATTGTTTCCTACCACCGTCCTCTGCCTCTGCCACGATCGCGCCAGTCATCTTCACCTCGCCCTCTTCCTCCTCTTCCAAAGCCTGGCTCTCGCTCTGGCGGCGCTTCGCCTCTCCTCCATTCACCAAATGGTACGCCTCTACCTAGTCTCCCGTCATCAAATCTACCTCCACCTCCTCTGCCCCCTCTGCCAAACCCACCATAGTCGCCTCTTCCACCGAAACCGTTCTCGCGCCCCCGCCCGTATTGTCCTGGAGGTCCCCTGCCCGGTCCAGATAGTGGCGGAGGGGCAGCTGGTACACTGCCGTCGGGCAGCGGCGGGAGTATGGCACATGCTACATAGTCGCCTATCATAAACCTGACATCCGCCAATGTCTTGTCTGGGTCACCATCGAGTTGCTTGAGAGCCTCTGCAGCACTTTCGCCGTCGGCACCTTCCATGTCGGTGTCCTCATTCCGTGATGGCGCGCCTACAATGACCGAGCCTATGTCTCGCGATATGAAGCGTCCTGGTGCGTCTGGCCGGTTGGAGCCTTGGATGTCTGGGTAGACGAGTCGAAATGCGATACGCGATCCAGTATACGGTTGTGGTAGTAATGTCGGAACTGCGCTGAGAAGTAGCGTGCATAGTTCGCGCAGACTACAGCTCTGCCATGTGTAGATTTGAACGTTTCTTGGAAGGCGTGGTAGTGCTGGGTCAAACTCGTCTAGCCTTTGGTTCGTCAGGCGAACAGTCGGTTTGAATGAGCGAATAGACACAGAAACACATACCTGTTAAATGAGCCCTGCTTGAAGAAGAGGCGCAAAAGGAAGGGCGTTGTTGTTTGACGATCAATCTTCGCAGGAGCAGCCATGGCGAGCTATGCAGCCTTGTGAGCAGTTAGGATGACGGATATAGCAGGATGTTCGCGATGATTCTGCGACAAAGTCGTGGGAATTTCGTGACAGTGTGACGTCAGGCGCGGGATGCGGAAGTATTGTTGGAGAGTTTGGGTGAAGGAGCGCGACGCGGAGAGCTCCCACTAGCGCCATCCTTCGGCAAGTACCCTGCAGCCCAGGTGAATGCCCAGGTCGCAACCGTCACTCACCCATCCTCGACACGTCAAATCACACCGCACACGGAGCATCACAATCGCAAACATGGACTTCGCAAAGCTGATGTCCGCTCACATCAAGAAGGGCAAAGATACAGCCTCGCCTGCCGAGTCAACCGAGAAAAAGTACCTGAAGCGCAGCGAGATCGAAGCGCAACGGCAAGCTGCATACGTCGCGGAGCAAGAAGCTGCCGAGAAGGCGCGGCGAGAGCGGCTGGAGAAGAAGCGCAAAGCTGAGGAGGACGAGGCTGAAAGAGAAGCTGAGCGCCGGGAAAAGCGAATGCGCATGGCCGAAGAATCAAGACGTATAAGAGAAGAAGAGGAAGAGGCAGAGGAAAGGCAGCGGCGAAGGCGACTAGGGCTCCCTGATCTTCCGCCCAAGAACAAGGAGGGCGAAGGAGATGGCACACCGGTACCCGAAGAGGAAGACATCGAAGACGAAGAGCTGGTCGCAAGGCTGAGAGCCCTCGATGAACCAGCACGACTGTTTGGCGAGACACACAAACAACGTCTCAAGCGATACAAGAAGCGCGTGGGCGCGGACAGCCTCGCAGCCATCATGACTGACGGTCCGATACCCACAACACTACAACTAGTACCCGAGAAGGACATGAAGGTCAATCTCCAGGTACCCAAGGACAAGCAAGGCCGTGAGTTCCTCTTCAGGCAACTAGCGAGCTACTTTACCATGGTGCTGAAAGAATGGGATCTCACGCTCCTACGTCGAGATGCCGAAGTCAAAGAGAGTTACCAAGGAAAACAAGCCTATGCTGCTATGGTGCAAGCACGTGAAAACATGCGACCCTTGTTCAAGAAGCTAGAAAAGTTCGATCTTCCAGACAGCATCGTCGAACCCGTTGTAGAGATTGTGCACGCTGCACAGGAGCGAAGATACGTCGACGCGAATGATGGATATTTACGTCTTAGTATTGGTAAGGCGGCATGGCCCATCGGTGTCACCATGGTGGGCATTCACGAGAGAAGTGCGCGAGAAAAGCTGCATGAAAGCGATAAGAACGCGGCACATATCATGAGTGACGAAATGACCAGGAAGTATCTGCAGAGCATCAAACGATGTTTGAGCTTTGCGCAGACCAGATGGCCGCCAACCGATCAGTTGCAGCTTATGGGTTAAGACAACATGTAAAATCACTAAACATCCATAGGCCAATACAATCAACCAGTACATTTCCTTGCCCCGTACGCGAAACTTCACTTGGTTATTTTCATCTCGAATTTTTACAAGCAGCAATGGAGCGTCACTGCTGTAGTGGAGTCGCTCTTTCCTCGTCGCGTGTCCACGTGCGGGGCAAAAGCAGAGCTTGACCTCACCAATCACCTTTTGCCTCCATCTGCACCATCGGCATTCAATTCATCTCACTCCCTTAAACCAACATTAACTCGTCGTTTATACAAGCTACTTTGAGATTCTGTCACGCAACTTTCTTCACGATGCACGAAGTCGTGACTTTACAGTTCGGCAAGCAAAGTAACTACCTGGGCACTCACTTTTGGAATACACAGGTAAGTCGCGAGATCTTGGCATTTCATCAATCACCACTCCCGCGAACCGGTTTCATAGCGCACTGACTTCTAGCGCTGGAAACATCGAGCTCGCACACTCTTTCACATACATTGCTTCCTCTTGCGCCCACTGTTCTGGTCACCTCACATATCTGTCTCATGATCCATTATGCCAAACTGCTCATTACGCTTAACCTGACATCCTCATAGGAGTCCTACTTCACATATCCACCTGAGACAGAGTCGCCTGTCAACCATGATGTACTTTTCAGGCCAGGTGTTGCTCCAGATGGATCCGATACTTTCACACCAAGAACGCTCATATACGACCTCAAAGGTGCTTTTGGCAGTATGAGAAAAATCAATGCGCTGTACGAGGCCGAGGACGACAGGAGTATATTAGACCAGAACGGGGTTTGGCCATCCAAGCCTATTGTCCAGCGCGCAGCCGAGACTATTCCACAGTCCGCCTACCAGGAGCACCTTGATGCCGGCCTGGATCCTCCCCCACTCAGTGCATCGTCTGTCCGGTACTGGTCTGACTACAGCCGTGTCTACTATCATCCAAAATCGATCGTTCAATTGTCTGAGTTTGATGTAAACGACAAGCTCATGCCTTTTGAGAGTTGGGATGTAGGCATGGAACTGTTCGAGAAGCTTGAGAGGGAGGTCGACTTAGTCGATAGGGATCTGCGGCCATTCGTTGAAGAATGCGATGGTATCCAGGGACTGCAAATCTTCACGGGTGTTGACGACGCTTGGGGAGGCTGGACGTCAGGTTGGCTAGAGAGATTGAGGGACGAGTACGGAAAGTTGAGTATCTGGACCTGGGGCTTGGGTGACCACGGCGCCAATACTACGACTCCTCGGGTAGGTCATTGTTCAACATCGCAATACAGCGAATTACTAAAACACTTTAGGAAAAACGTTTGCAACAAATCACGAATTCAGCACGATCGCTCCACGTGCTTGGCGAGCAGTCATCAGTATATGTGCCAATGTCGAATAGTCCCGCCAAATTACCAGGTTACTTGTCAGTTGACACCACGTCGCCCTGGCACATTGCAGCTTTGCAAGTCGTCGGTCTGGAGAGCATGACCATATCTTCACGATTGAGAGCATCTTTGGGCGGACGAGGCACGCTCCAGGATCTGGAAAACACCATCAACAGTACAGGAAAACGACGCATAGCAAAACTCGAGATGAGTTTGGCAGATCCAGACGTTTTGTCAGCTAAAGCTTTGGACGAAGTCGAACAAGCAGAAAAAGTCGGTTCCATGACGTCGAGGCAGACTAGTGAAAGTGACGATCGACTAAGTAATTTTGATATTGATACCTTCAGTCGCGAATATAGGACGGTTACCAAGAAAGGAAAGAAAGAACACGTTTTTGGACGGGCAGAGGCTTCTCGTGGGGAGTGGGTTCTGTCTCAAGATAACGAACGTGATCCTCATGACAGGTTCGACAGTGGACCAGCATTGCAGAGGTGAGTATCTGCGTTTTGTACTACACTATGCTTTGTCGCGATTGGACGGGTCTGCAACTGTTTGATCCCCTCTTGTGGCTGCGACGTTGATGTTACGTTCACTGCATGGTCAGGGTGAGACGCCGGAATTCGAACGTATGCTAATGCGATCCAGGTTTGCTGCACCACTACTATTTCCTCTACTTGACAGCTTTCCTCGGTCGATACTGGACGTAGGGTCCGATCACTCCACTAAGCTCGCCGTGCACACTGGACTCACGACAAGTACCGCTGTTGCTGATCAGATCCGAGCAGTGGAGCAAATCGTCAAGCGGATGACGGGCATCGAAGAAAAAGAAACACTCTGTAACGGCTTACAAGTTCTTGCAGAGGAGTACGATGAAGGCTGGGATAGCGGTACAGAAAGCGATGATGACGATTAGTCGAGCTGTACTAGACTTGGCGTGCTTTTACAGATCTGGTGCACAGCGTCTTCGTGGAAAATACAGCGCGTCTGCCACCAGCGTCAATGTACACAGCGTATGTGATCAGTCAGCCACACCAGTTCAATCTACCATGTCGGTTGTCAGTCACACGATTGCTAGGCAACACAACGTATGAGACCACCTGCACTATCCATGTGGATTCGTCAAAGTACGACTCAGGGCTATGGAAGAACTGTCAATCATCGAGCAACCCCAAGATCTGACGGATGTCGAGGTGCTGCTAGTTGTAACTGGAGAAACTGAGGGACGAAAAAAGGGTTTCATCAACCTCAACCTACGAAGGATCTTTGGACAATATTCCCGTGCTGATATCAGATTGTGTCACTCGTCACACATCGTGCTTCGATACTTCTAGGACTCCAAGCAAGGGTCGATCGACAGGACAACAGATAGCATGTTCCACACTCTTAGCAACTGTTTCGTGATCGCAATCTAGAACCAGGATTGGCTTAAAGCGAGGTCATGATCTGCTGGTGGACCAACAGGAGATCTGATGGTATTGATAAAATTCGTTTTTCCTACGCTTGTGCAGGGTGGTGGAGCTTTCCGTTCGACCGTTGTGCGTACGCAGGTATTACGGCCGCTTGCGCGAAGCGCCAGTGAGCAGCGATGCCGGAGTACGCGGCAGGTCTTGTTCGTCCTACCAGCAGAACTAATTTCAAGTGTGCTGCGATCCTCGCAGCCCACTCCCAAACGGCGGCTGCAGCTGCAGGAATCATGGCCGACTTTCAAGCTGACGCGTGATTAAATCTTCACGAGGACAGGAAAGGGAACTTCAAGCCACAAAAGTATCACGATCGTGCTCTGCAAGACTGCAGGTACTGGTTGGAGCCATGCGGGGTAACGGAGGCAAGCGAACGTTACGCCAGCCTGCTGGGACACTACCAGTCTCCAGGGAGTCCACCAACCGCGTTGCGCTGAGGCTTTCACGATATAGTAACTCACTGGTTTTCAATACATGTATCTGCAGCCACGGTCTTAGCTACTAACAGTGGCTGGTTCAAACAGTCAAAACTATTGAGACTGGCTACGCTGTTCCCACGGGTGGCATGAACACGGGAAACAGTCCGCGCAATGCACATGTCTTCTTGCCGCATCTGAGTACTTCCCGTATGCGAAGGAGCGAGGATCTTAGTTCGCGCAGTTCCAGGCTCAGCAGAAGTTGGGAAATTGTGTGGCGGGATCCTTGTCACCGAGCGCAAATTTCCACTTTACAGTCTCTGAACAACAAGGGAAAGGAACTTTGTTTTTCGCTATATTGCTCAACACCGATATCAGCAGTGTCTAGATATTCGATTGGCGGCACTGTTCTACGGAGTCTCACCATCCATGCACAGCCCGTGGCTCGCGAGAGATGAACCCACAATGCCTTAACGGCACTTACTCCGCGCAATGCAGGTTAATTGCCTAGATCCGGACTTGTATTATGATCTTTATCTCACCGAATGGTACCAAACAATATGAAGACACGGTTTGGAGGCCAGTATTACAGCGCTCGGTTTGTGCAGCTGGGGAGCTATGCCGTTTCTAGACTGCGTGATGTCACTGCCAGTTAGTCTTTGTTATGGTGGCTGGAGTACAGCTGTAAGCCCCAACTTTCAACGCTGCCAACCCTATATTGGACGCCGTTTTCTTCCAAGGCTTACTGTACGGACTATTTTGGTAAGCTTCATGCACCTCGATAGAACTTGGTGTAGCCGTGGGCTGACCACGGAAAGTGTTGGCCGGTTGCTAGGGCAAATTTGGCCAGCGAGCGTTGCTAGACATGTCTCACACTCTGAAGGAGCCTCATTCCATGGTATGATCGACGTTACAACCATGATGGACTTGTGGAGACTTTGAACTAAATTCCGTTCGCATGATTGTGGAGAACGACTTCGGTGCCCCTCAACCGTCGTGCGTGGATGTGACCCTGTTGTGGCTTTTTACGGGTATGGCAAAGCAGAAGGCTGGTAGACTGCGGAGATCCCGCCTCTCCTAATGAGTATATTAAGTATCTCCTTCTTCTCTGTCTTATCTGTCGTGCCATTCAAGTTCTACTAAGTCTTCGAACACTTCTACAGCAGCTCTTTCGCTACGGTTGCTTTGTTACTTCAATTCCGCACCTCCGACTTGATCAACTTTGATACAAACAGAAAATCCCCATCCAAAGCAAAATGAGATACTCTTTCGCGATGATGGCCCTTGTGGGCGCTGTGTACGCTGCTCCCCATGGCGGAGGTAGCTACGGCGGACACAAGGGATATGGCGGATCCTGGGGCGGAGAGTCCAAGGGCGTAGAGTCTAGCGGAGAGTGGAGTGGTGAGAGCGGCGGAGAGTCTGGTGGCGAGTACGGCGGCGAGTACGGCGCATCTACCGGTGGCTATGCTATGCCGTCTTCTGTAAGTCGTCACCGAGATCGCCAATTGTTCGATCGTCAAGTTCTGACAATACACAGGCCGGATACGATGTTCCTTCATCCTCCGAGACCCCAGCGATCTCCAGTGGATATGGCGGACCCCCTCCCGAGGCGTCCAGCACTCCTTGCGATGAGGAAAGCAGCAGCATCCCAGAGGTCTCGAGTACTGTCCCTCCTGTCGTATCCTCATCAACTTACACTCCGCCTGTCGTCACCTCCACCTACACTCCCCCGGTGGTTACTTCAACCTATATTCCTCCTGTTGAATCCTCCAGCACACCCTGTGAGGAGACCAGCACCCCTCCTGTCGTTACATCGACCTACACTCCCCCAGTTGTAACTTCTACCTACACTCCTCCAGTTGTTACCTCAACTTATACTCCACCGGTGGAATCATCCAGCACGCCATGTGATGAGACAAGCACTCCTCCTGTTGTCACATCTACATACACGCCTCCGGTTGTCACCTCCACCTACACTCCTCCTGTTGAGTCCTCCAGCACACCCTGTGAAGAGACCAGCACCCCTCCGGTTATTACATCTACCTACACTCCCCCAGTTGTGACTTCTACCTACACTCCTCCGGTCGAATACTCCAGCACCCCATGCCCAGATACAGAGACTGTTACCGTGCCGCCCCTCAGCTCGACTCCCGAGGTCTCTACTACTACCATCGCAGTCCCCCCACCAAGCTCTACACCAGAAGTTCCTGAATCATCGTCCACTCCTTGCCCGGAGACTGAGACCGTCACGGTGCCACCTCCAAGCTCAACTCCCTACGTGCCAGAGGAGACGACCATCTACTCTACCATCGTAGTCCCGCCACCAAGCTCCATGCCCGAGGTGCCAGAGTCGTCGTCTACTCCTTGCCCCGAGTCTAGCACGACCATCGTTGTCCCTCCCCCTAGCTCGACACCTGAAGTTCCAGAGGAGTCATCGACACCTTGCCCTGACACTACTACCACTATTGTTGTACCCGGACCCTCCACCTACCCTGTGGTTCCTCCTGTCATTACCGAGTCTGTCCCCGTTCCCGAGGTATCTACCACTATCATCGTTCCCCCAGTATCTTCCTACTACGCTCCTCCTCCTCCTCCTCCTGTTATCACGGAATCTGTCCCCATTCCTGAGGCATCTACCAGTGTTGTCGTTCCCGGTCCGTCATCCTCTTACAAGGCCACTCCTCCTGCCTCGTCATCCACCGGACACGTTTCTTCGGCTACCACCCCCGGCTATCCTGAGTACACTGGTGCCGCCAGCTCCACCAAGCCCCTCGCTGCCTTCATGGCTGGTGCCGCTGCTCTCGCTTACTTCGTCTAAGCAGTTGATCATTGTCCACCTCACCCCCGAAAATCTTTTGTACAAGATGTACAAAAGCACACTTCTCACCTTCCTTACTCTCTTTTATTGCAAGACTTTACCCAAACCCCTTTTTTAATCCCCTACTCAACAACACGGCACAGGCATATGGAAGATAGACGGGTTGAACACTTCGACATCCCTTTGTAATCTTTAATGACCCCCTTCTCTTCTTTTCGGTGGCGTGGCCGGACTATGGCGATTATGTTACATATTCTGGCCATGAGCATTTTCATTGCGTGGTATCGGCTAGCATTTATACAGTGTCCTGCGATACGCACTGCGCGGTACGGCTTGGGGTAAATCAACTGATGAAGCAATGAAGGTGGCCTTTTGCTTTAGTAATCTAGATAGCTCGGGCGGTTGGAGTAGTAATCTATAATGAGGTCCACCAGCTTCTGAACGAATATACTTGAGTGACTGACTTGTATAACATACTGCTTTGCAGTGTCAGCACGCTATGAATGATTATGTTTGCAACCTACAATACTTTGAAATTTATGGTCATACCGGACCATATATGAATGTATGGTCTACGTTAACCTAATCACATACATGGTGTCTATGTTTTATATTGCTGTAGACGGCAATAGGCTTGATAACTACACAAGTAGTTTGCTTTGTGAATATGGTATACCCCGCCATTAAAGTTTTCACAGAGGTCAATATCGTGGTTGGTGTGGTCACCGTCCGACCCCCATTCAAAGACACCCACAACAGCAAAAAAAGAAGGAATTCCATCAGTATATATCCTCAAAAAGCAAAAAGAAAGGCTGTAATGGTCACTACGAGGGTCGAACTCGCGACCTTGGCGTTATTAGCACCACGCTCTAACCAACTGAGCTAAGCGACCAAGTTATTGGAGTTGTGGAAAAAAAATTTAAATTATATTGGTGGGCACATTTGATGCACCAGCTGCTCATCTGAACCTTTGACTAGTTCGTAAAATCCTTCTTTGGTGCATTACCTTCTTCCTTTCCACTTCCATACTTTCGAACATGTTCCTTGTTGGCGCCCTTATCTTGCTCGAATTCTTTGAGCTCGGGCGTGTCCATGTGCTTTACCACGTTGTCCGCCTGCCACTTCTTGAAACTGAAACCCACTCCTTCATGACTGTAATCTTTGTCGTTTGCCTGGTCTTTGTGATACTTGATCTGCATAAATTGGCTGTCCTTGGTCGCAGGATCCAGACTAAGCGTTACCAAACCGGTAATGGTAGCTGTCTTGGGAATCAGACGGAAGGTCCAGGACTGCTTGTTTTTGAACTGGATGATATCGTCGTCGGAACGGATTACTTGGTAAGATTCATTGATTGAAGCGTTGAAGAGTTTGGGAAGGGCGAACCATTGACCGGCCATTTTGTAGCGGTCGTTTGCGTAGACGAACTGGTCATCGTAGACACAGTCTGGTGTATAACGTTTTACTCGTTGAATAGTGGGCTGACAGGAGTACAGGGCGATGATCTGTGGGTGTCATTAGCTTTCTCCTTTTGAGGGTGATGATGCGAAGGTATATGCTCATACATCGTCGACTAATGCTTGCCTTTGTGGGCTCAATTTGATGCTCTTGCTCGGATCTGGCTCATAGTCCTCACTTGTAGCCGTTTGCCTGGGCTCAAACTGCTCGCCTGGCGCATCGCTCGTCTTCGGAAATCCCGAGTTCGCGCTACTCACGATATCCCCCGTCGCCTGTCCGCTGGCTGAAGTCGACATTTCTGCTCTTTGCTGTCCGGCTGCTAGTCGTGGAGGTGGATTGTTGCCAGTAGGGTTGGCCTTTTGTTCCGCGTTCCAAAGTTGTACGGTGAATGCCTTTTGTGGATGCTTGAGAGCGGGTTTGCTAAGAAAGTCCTTGAGGCCTGTTGAAAGAAGTTTGGAGCGAGAGCCACTGGTTGCTGCAGGCATTGAATTTGGGTTGTCGGGAGCGGAATCCATAGATGCGGTTGTTTATTATATATGCGCAGCCCTAACTTGACGCGTGCATACGTGAAGGTAAGATGACGACAGTGTTAGTTGGTGGTGCTAGATGCGGAGTCGATGATTCATGGGATCGGGGATCGGGAGATTCAGATGTTCACGCGGGCGGATTGCTGTTAGATAAAGGATGGGGGGTTGGGACGCCGTGACCTCCATCTTGTAAAAGTCGAGACCAGGGGTTTGGGGCAGATTTGTGGAGAAGAGTTGCGTATGCCATGGGATTTGGTTGTTTCGAGGGGTGCGGGTAGGGCTGATCGGCATCATTCGGGTGTTACGGCATGACGTATTCCAGGTTGCTTCTTTGGGCAACTTTTGACAGCGTGGATTGGTGTTAGCGTGTATACCCTCCTGTTGCCTGTGAGTCTTGGATCCTTCTGTGTAGAATTAATGACGAATAAAGGTAATATGTTAACCAATAGTCTCTTTAGACTACTGGTTGGACCCTTCCCGCTCGGCAGGCATGTGAAAGTGGATATCCTCGCGTAAGTACATGAAGGCCCAAAAGGTACGCCCAAGGAGTGGAAGGAGCGATGGAATGAGTCGGCTGCAGTGTAATTGGAAATCAATAAAGGATCTAAGTCTTTACAAGTGGATAAGCGAAAACATGAATACTGAGAAGCGTGACTACATCTTTACAGCTTGCTGTCGTTCTGCTTAAGCCGAACGAGGCCCTAGTCAAGTTAGCATAGCTGATTGCATGTGTGAATAGCAAAGTTCTTACCTCTTGTACACAGCTCGCAATGAGTGTGCCGTCTTGGGTGTACATCCTCTGGAAGACAAGTCCACGGCCGTCACCAGCCCAGGGTGTCTCCATCTCGGTGAAGATCCACTCGTCAGCCCGGAAGCTGCGAGGGTTGTGGAAGTAGATGGTGTGGTCAAGACTGACCATCATGCCAATCTCAGGCGGCGCGTCAGTGTCCTTTGACCGGTCTTCGCCATTCTTTATACGCTGGATGCGCTGGATATCTGCCTCGTCGACAAACTTCTGGCGCTTCAGCTCAGCGTCATCCATCTCCAGCAGTGTCTTGAGCACGTCTTCGTCAATGCTAGACTTTGCGGCACTCTTGCGTTGTGTGGAATAGCGCCATAACTTGTGGGTGCGCGCGATGGTGCCGATGAAGTAGCTGTCAGACATGTAGGCAATAGCAGAGAGATGGGCTTCGTGGCCGCCGGCGGGGGAGATGCGACCGCGTGCCTTCACCCACTGTCGGCACTTCTTGGTGTGAGGCTTATCGGAGTCGTCTGGACGGGGTTAGACTGGGCAAGTTGGGACTGACATGTGAAAGTACTTGCCGTTCTCGATTGGCATTCTCTGACTCTGGAAGGGGCTGTGGCCGCTGGGATGTTCCATGTCGTCCATGCCCTCGTTGGGACCCGGTACGTCTGCCATGGGAGTGACGTGCTCGACCTTTTTTGCTCCTCCGCTGTTCTGGCGCACGAAACTCATAGTAGTTGTGAAGATGACCTTTCCGCGTTGTCGCGCCTGGACGGTCCTCGTGGCAAACGACTTTCCCGATCGCACCCTCTCTACATGGTATATGATGGGTATCTCTGCGTTGCCAGCAAGCACAAAGTAGCAGTGCATGGAATGTACAGTGAAGTCAGGGTCAACCGTCTTCTGGGCTGCACTCAGCGTCTGGGCGATGGCGGCGCCTCCGAAGATGCCGCGCGCACCAGGTGGATGCCATAGCGGACGCGTGTTGGTGAAGAGATTGGGGTCGATGTCGGACAACTGGGTCAGTTCGAGGACATTTTCGATCTCGGATTGCGAATGGTCGACGGGCGGAGGGCGGATGAGGGTAGCCATGGTATGGTATGAATATGTTAGTAGCGGAGAGAGGCAGGAGTATCACATATATGTGAAGAGCGGTGTTTGAGATTACTGGACACTCGGTCGCGTTCCGGCGCAGCGTGCAACATCCTCGAGCCGAGGCACAACGCGCACGCCCATGGCCACGCCCACATGGTCGCAGCAGCAGCGTACAGGGGCGGCGACGACGGCTGACTAAGACGGCCACTTGGGCGCTCTGGGGTAAAACGTCATACTGTATGGCCGGTGGTGGCCTGCGCGTACCTGACTTGTCTCAAGCCAATGTGGGATTCCAGGCACTCGACGACAGGGTCTGTTCCAACCATTGGTCTTCCTTTTGGCCATTCTTCACGCGCGCATTCCCCTTGACTGCCCTCCGCGTCGCCTCCACGCGCCTCGTATCATTATAGTGACATGTCGCCGATTGCCACTGTATAATCTCCACAGCATCCGCTCCATCTCTACTGCCGCCGGAAGACAGACAGCGAAGGAGAGACACCATGGCGGAGACGAATCCGGAGCTGCGGGCCAAGCTGCAGGAGCTGGACCACGAACTCGAGGAGGGCGACATCACACAGAAGGGGTTGGTTGTCGCATTCGCATCCCTCCCCACGTGCGCTAACCCGTCGCAGGTATGAGAAGCGGAAGACGGTGCTGCTGTCACAGTACCTGGGCCCCGAATTTGCGGCGCAATTGCAGAACGACGTGCGCCATCAGAGCTTAGCCCAGAGCGATGGCTCAGGTTCCCGCAGCGCATCGCTCGCCGCCCTCTCTGCCCCAAACCCGAACCCAAGCCCAAACCCACTCCAACCGCCGCATATTGAACTCCCACGACCCGACTCGTACCATGACAGCTCCGCCACGGGCACCATGGGCTCCTCCATGGGCCACTATGCCAGCTCCTCGACGAGCACCGCCGGCAACTCCCAGTACATGGCATACCCACCGAGCCAGGTAGGCCGTTTCCAAGAGAAGCAGCTGGGCCTACGCACCACGTCACTGCAGCGCAACGCCTCTCAACTGTCCCAGGGGAGTGAGACCTTCATACCGCGCCCACAGACACCCGAATACAACTACTCGCGCGAGCCGACCATGATGGGCAACTATGCCTTCAACCCAGACACCCAGCAGGGCTTTGAGAACGGATATGGCTCACCGGGAGAGGCTAGCAGGAGGAGCACGATGCTGGATGTGAACCAGGGCTATTTCTCCGACTTCACAGGACAGCAGATGCAGGACCAGCGCGACTCGTATGGTGGACCGAACCGCTACTCCACAGGCGACGCCTTCTCTCCAACTGCTGCGATACCACCGCCCATGATGAACCCGAGCGACCTTCCCATCGGTGCTGCAGACACAATGCTGCCACTAGAACCTCGAGACCTGCCCTTCGACGTCTACGACCCTCACAACCACAACATCAAAATGTCCAAGTTCGACAACATCGGCGCTGTATTGCGCTATCGCGCTCGCACACAGCCGAGGACCACTGCCTTCTGGGTCTTGGATGCAAAGGGCAAGGAAACGGCTTCCATCACTTGGGAGAAAGTGGCCAGTCGTGCTGAAAAGGTAGCCAAAGTCATTAGGGATAAGAGCAACCTGTATCGTGGCGATCGCGTAGCGCTCGTGTACAGAGACACGGAGATTATCGAATTCGTCGTGGCTTTGATGGGATGCTTCATCGCAGGCGTTGTAGCGGTACCCATCAATAGCGTCGATGATTATCAGAAACTCATCCTCCTCTTGACCACAACTCAGGCACATCTTGCACTGACCACAGACAACAACCTCAAGGCCTTCCATCGTGACATTAGTCAGAACCGTCTGAAGTGGCCGAGCGGAGTCGAGTGGTGGAAAACCAACGAGTTTGGAAGCTACCACCCCAAGAAGCATGACGACACCCCGGCCTTGCAAGTACCCGAAGTAGCATACATCGAGTTCTCGCGCGCGCCAACCGGCGACTTGCGCGGTGTCGTACTGAGTCACCGCACCATCATGCACCAGATGGCTTGTATCAGCGCCATGGTTAGCACAATACCTGCCAACCACCAAAGTCAGGACACTTTCAACGGCAACCTACGAGATTCATCCGGCAAATTCGTCGCGCCAGTACAGAGCAGAACGCCGACTGAAGTCATTCTTTCCTACCTCGATCCGCGCGAAAGCGCTGGTCTCATCCTTAGTGTCCTATTTGCCGTCTACGGCGGTCACACCACAGTTTGGTTGGAAACACCGACAATGGAGACGCCAGGTCTATACGCACATCTCATCACCAAGTACAAGTCGAACATCCTGATCGCCGACTATCCGGGCCTCAAACGCGCAGCGTACAACTATCAGCAGGATCCCATGGCTACGCGGAATTTCAAGAAGAACACCGAACCCAACTTTGGCTCAGTCAAGATCTGCCTGATCGACACACTCACTGTTGATTGCGAATTCCACGAGATTCTTGGAGATCGTTACTTTAGACCTCTGAGGAATCCCAGAGCACGAGAGCTCATTGCGCCTATGCTATGCTTGCCCGAGCACGGTGGTATGATAATCTCAGTACGCGACTGGTTGGGTGGTGAAGAGCGTATGGGATGTCCGTTAAGCATAGCACCGGAAGAGTCGGATGGTGAGGATGAGGCCGAGGACAAGGGCGCGGCAGCCAATGGTTATTCCAGTCTCATCGGAGGCGGCACCACGAACAACACCAAGGAGAAGAAAAAGAAGAGTCCAACCGAGTTGACCGAAATATTGCTAGATAAGGAAGCACTGAAGCTGAACGAAGTTGTTGTTTTGGCCATTGGAGAGGAAGTGAGCAAGCGTGTCAACGAACCCGGCACTATGAGAGTCGGTGCTTTTGGCTACCCGATACCAGACGCGACGCTGGCCGTCGTTGATCCGGAGACTAATCTTTTGTGTTCACCCTATTCCATAGGAGAGATCTGGGTAGACTCGCCATCATTGTCCGGAGGGTTTTGGCAGCTGCAGAAGCACACTGAGACTATTTTCCACGCTCGGCCATATCGTTTCGTAGAGGGCAGCCCAACCCCGCAACTACTCGAACTGGAGTTTCTACGCACTGGACTGCTCGGATGCGTGGTAGAAGGCAAAATCTTCGTATTAGGCCTGTACGAGGACCGGATTAGGCAGCGCGTTGAATGGGTAGAGCACGGTCAGCTAGAAGCCGAACATAGGTATTTCTTCGTGCAGCATCTTGTCACCAGCATTATGAAAGCTGTTCCAAAGATTTACGACTGGTAAGTGCTATCGAATCTCTGGGTAATCAACCTAACATTGCGCAGCTCGTCTTTCGATTCCTATGTCAACGGCGAATACTTACCAATCATCCTTATCGAGACACAAGCCGCATCAACTGCTCCCACAAATCCAGGCGGGCCACCACAACAACTTGACATTCCTTTCCTAGACTCTCTTTCTGAGCGATGTATGGAGGTACTGTATCAAGAACACCACCTTCGGGTGTATTGTGTGATGATCACTGCACCGAACACACTCCCGCGAGTCATCAAGAACGGTCGACGAGAAATTGGAAACATGCTTTGCCGGAGAGAGTTTGACAATGGCTCGCTACCCTGCGTTCACGTCAAGTTTGGCGTCGAGAGGTCGGTCCAGAATATTGCGCTAGGTGATGATCCTGCTGGCGGCATGTGGTCTTACGAGGCGTCGATGGCACGCCAGCAGTTCCTGATGCTTCAAGATAAGCAGTACTCCGGAGTGGATCACAGGGAAGTCGTTATTGACGACAGAACGTCGACGCCGCTCAACCAATTTTCCAACATTCATGACCTTATGCAATGGCGTGTACAACGACAAGCTGAAGAGCTCGCCTACTGCACTGTAGATGGTCGAGGTAAAGAGGGCAAAGGCGTCAACTGGAAGAAGTTCGACCAGAAGGTCGCAGGTGTCGCCATGTACCTGAAGAACAAGGTCAAGGTTCAGACTGGTGACCACCTGCTCTTGATGTACACCCACTCGGAAGACTTTGTCTATGCCGTACACGCGTGTTTCGTCCTTGGAGCCGTGTGTATACCCATGGCACCAATCGACCAGAACAGGCTAAATGAAGACGCGCCCGCACTACTACATATCATTGCCGACTTCAAGGTCAAGGCTATACTCGTCAATGCTGACGTAGACCACTTGATGAAGGTCAAGCAAGTATCGCAGCACATCAAACAGTCAGCCGTTATTCTCAAGATCAACGTACCGAATACCTATAACACCACAAAACCACCTAAGCAGTCTAGTGGTTGCCGCGATCTTAAGCTCACAATACGACCTGCTTGGATACAATCTGGTTTCCCTGTTCTAGTATGGACATACTGGACACCTGACCAGAGACGCATAGCTGTGCAGTTAGGTCACAGCCAAATCATGGCGCTGTGCAAAGTTCAGAAAGAAACGTGCCAGATGACGAGCACACGGCCCGTCCTTGGATGTGTTCGTAGCACGATCGGTCTTGGCTTCATACACACCTGTGTTATGGGTATCTTCCTCGCAGCGCCAACTTACCTTGTGTCACCTGTCGATTTTGCGCAAAACCCGAACATCCTCTTCCAGACCATGTCGAGATACAAGATCAAGGACGCGTATGCGACCAGCCAAATGCTGGACCACGCTATTGCACGAGGTGCTGGCAAGAACATGGCTCTGCACGAGCTCAAGAATCTCATGATCGCGACTGACGGTCGGCCACGCGTAGACGTTTGTAAGTGTTGCGATCCTGTATAAGCATCTGAAATCTAATTCTTGATAGACCAGCGTGTGCGAGTACACTTCTCGCCAGCAAGTCTGGACCGAACGGCAATCAATACCGTTTACTCACACGTACTGAATCCTATGGTCGCATCGCGGTCATACATGTGCATCGAACCCATAGAACTACATCTCGACGTCGGTGCCCTTCGAAGAGGTCTCATCATGCCTGTCGACCCAGACACGGAACCTGGTGCTCTCTTAGTCCAGGACTCGGGTATGGTACCAGTTAGTACACAAATCTCAATCGTGAACCCAGAGACCAACCAGCTTTGTCTGGTCGGCGAGTATGGCGAGATTTGGGTGCAGTCCGAAGCGAACGCGCATAGCTTCTACGGCTCGAAGGAACGGTTGGATGCAGAACGCTTCAATGGCAGGACTGTCGACGGAGACCCGAACGTGCGATACGTTCGCACTGGAGAACTAGGGTTTCTACACAATGTTACACGACCGATTGGCCCCAACGGTGCGCCAGTTGACATGCAAGTTCTGTTTGTTCTGGGCAGCATTGGCGATACGTTTGAAGTCAACGGTCTTAATCATTTCTCAATGGACATTGAGCAGTCTGTAGAGCGCTGCCACCGGAATATTGTTCCTGGAGGATGGTTCGTATTCTCCGCCTACTTTCCCTTGATCACACTTACTGACCATCTGCAGCGCCGTTTTCCAAGCAGGTGGCCTTGTCGTCATCGTTGTGGAGATTTTCCGTCGCAACTTCCTCGCAAGCATGGTCCCTGTCATCGTAAATGCCATCTTGAACGAACACCAACTCGTTATCGATATCGTGTCCTTCGTGCAGAAGGGTGACTTCCACAGGTCTCGTCTTGGCGAGAAGCAAAGAGGCAAAATCCTAGCGGGCTGGGTAACGAGGAAGATGCGTACAATTGCGCAATACAGTATTCGTGATCCAAATGGCTCGGACGCGCAAATGATCAGTGAAGAGCCTGGCGCAGGACGTGCCAGTATGAGCGGAAGCATGCTTGGTATGGGCAGAATGGGACCAGCAAGTCTAAAGGCAAGCTCGACTCGAGCACCAAGCTTGCTCGGCATGACAGCGACAATGAATAGTCTCTCGTTATCGCAACAGCAGCAGCAACAACAACAGCAACAATTACAACCAGGACAACAGTACTATCAAAGCATCCCCGAAAACCCACCACCCAGCCAGAATCAAGGCGTCGAACTTCACGACCCTAGCGATCGCACACCAACAGATAACCGCATGTCCTTCCTCCCCAATCTCCAGGCGCAACAAGGTGGTCCAATGGATTATTCGCCTGTTGATCGACTTGGTCCTTTCAATGATGAAGGGCACCAGCACCAACCTGGTAACTACCAAAACGCATACCATCCACAACAACAGCAGTATCAATCTAGCGGTAGCGGTCTAAGTGGTCAGGTACCTGATGTGCTCCGTCCCGGTCCTGCAGATGAGGCAAACCAGAGCGGGACGTGGAATGGAAGAGAGTTTTACAGTGATAGCACGCCGTATCACTCTTACGATAACACATCACCAGACCCGAATATGCAGCAGCAAAACCAACAAACATGGACGATGGACTCCCAACAACATAGCCAGGGATATGATCCCGGATATAGTGAAGAAGTAACGAGATATGTTAGTCACGGTTCGTACGATAGTAGAGCCGGTGGTGCAGGAGGTGGTGGCGGCGGATTGAGAGTAGCAAACCGCGACTCTACGGCGAGTGAGAGTGAGGATGATAGTTGGAAGAGGGATGTTCTAGCTCAAATGAATTTCGCTGGCGGGCCTGGTGGCCCACCTGGGGGGAACCATGCGCAATAGTTGGGATGAGAGATTTATCGCGTCGGCAGCAACTTGGGTAAACGAGTGGCATGTAGTTAGTGGTCTTGTCGTAGTTGTAGCTCATGTGAAATGATACTGGTTATGAGATAGCATACCTGATGTGGGGCAAGTACATCAAAATGTTCTGGCAACCGCCTGACGCGGATAAAGATAATGGTCTTTTTTTTTTTCTTACACTAAATGGCTAAAGGTGAGGAAGCCAAATGGAAGCTCTTTTCAGCATTTTCCATATTCCTATCCTTTAAACGAACACCAAAGCACCATTCTGGTTGCTAATTCTCTCATCCAGGTTGATCTCCCTCCTATGCCACTGGCCATGATGTTCCAAATCACCCTCCAGCCTCTGTCCACCATCTCTCAACGTCATGTTGCGCGCAGAATTGCCAAAGCCGCCACCTCCACGACTGCTGTTTCCGCCTGGAATACGTAGGTTCTGGCCTGGCCAGATCTGGTCCGCGTTGGCGATGTTGTTGTGGCGAGCGAGCTCTTCGTAGGAACAGTGGGAGAAACGGGAGGCAATGGCACGGAGGGTGTCGCCTTGCTGGACGGTGTAAGTGTTCTCGCCACCGCCGCTGTTGTTGGAGCCTGACCAGCGGAAACTTCCGCCGTCGTTTTCCAGGATGCGGTTCAGGGAGATGGAAGAAGATTGGTAAGAGCCATCTGCTCGGCGGCATTGGGCGTGGAGTGTGTAGTCGCCATGGGCATCGAGCCTGATATCGCGAGATGAATCAGAAAAGTTTCCGCCAAAGTCTCCCGGGGTGCGCTGGTCGTTCGAGCGGTTGCCGGAACCTTGGTGGTGTTGGATTGGGGGAGGACCGCCATGTTGCTGTCCGTACTTTCGTCGGCGCTCCTCCTCCTCTTCATATCGCTTACGGTCTTCCTCTTCTTTCTTCTTCTCCTTGTGCTCGTCCCATTTGTCTTCTACCGCGTCTTGGCCTTTGTGTCCGGCGAATGCTCCCGCGAGCGCTCCGATGACGGTGCCTGCTACGCCGTGGCCAGCTTTTCCGCCTAGAGCATGACCACCATATCCTCCTGCTGCCGCACCAGCAATACCACCCATGATACCGCGGTCACCCTCAGGGTCACCTTCGCCGCCATATTGATTCTGACTGATTGTAGGTGTAACAAGTCAGCGTATGTCTCACATGTAATCCGTACAGATACACTTACTGGCCTTGGTTCAAGGAGTTGCGACCGGAGTTGGATGAGTGGGCTGCAGCAGAAGGAAGCTGCTGGTACTGAGGAGGTGCCGCATCGTAACCTCCTTGTTGACCGTAGCCTTGAGGGCCTCCTTGACCACCGTAGTATTGGCTGGCTAAGCCATGGTGAGATTGTTGTTGGTGAGGAGGAGGCTGCTGATATCCACCACTGCCATTGTAGTCGTTTTGTCCATAACCACCCTGTTGTTGATAGCCTCCTTGCTGCCCGTATCCGCCGCCCTGGTTGTAGCCGGAGCCAGAGCCGTCGTAGCTACCGTAGCCTGACATGATGTTTCCGTGTGTGATAATGAACTTGGATTTCGTCGATTAGGTTACTCTAGGTAGAGTCGTATAGGTTGCACAGTCGAGTTGTAGATCAAGGTTCGATGGGAGAATATAAATAATAAAAGTTGTAGTCAAGGTTCTTACAGCCTTGTCATGTACTTCGGAGAGGCACGACCCCGTCGGCGCCGAAGTAGCACCTTCTTATTTATACACTCTGCCATGACACAAGCCATGTTGCGGTCGCACCTGTACAGCCACATGTCGTCACCGCCACTTTATGCCGTTGCGGCACCATTGTGGGGTTTTTGAGTTGGCCGACTCCACTTCACTACGCGTTTCGACCAATCGCCGACGCGACACGGGTAAGTCGGCGGTCTGACCTGGTCGACTAAGCCACGAACACAGGAAGGAAGACAGCGATTACGTGGACCCTCAAACGATCGAAGTGGGGGAAGTGACGACTGTGTGGGCTTAGAGATGATGTAGAGGTGTCTAGAACGATATCAGCTACCCTGATCTACGGGCTTGGACCCTGGTCCTAGAACATCTCTTTTGCAAGACCAATAAACGCACAGTAGAATTGCACACGCAGGGCGAAAACAACGAGTGAGAACAGTAGAAGATGATGATGAACTTTTTTGGTAGATGGCATACTGTACACAGAGCTACGCTAGAATGTCTAACAAAAACCCAGACAACGCTAACAAATGCATCGCTCATAAAACGCCGGATCAGAGTTTCAAAGAGAGACATGACAAGTATGAGACGAGGACATATGGACAAGAAGTAAATGATTATGAACAAATAGTTACAAGAAGTGAACAACGATGGAGGATAGGAAAGATAGTGTTTTAGTATAGATATATGGGTTGTCGGATGATGTACAATGAACCTGGGTGTGACATGCCCAGGGTGGTCGAGCGTAGCGTCGTGCACGAGGTGGTGCGATGGATGGCAGGTGGTTCTGAAGAAGCAAGAAATGAATATAGCGGAACGTTGCCAACAATATCGTACAAGACTGGACTTCTCGGCCAAGGCCCTCTTAGTATGTGAAGGCCTCCTCGATGAAATCCACGCTACCTTGCGTAAGGAACGGTCTGACCGCATGCCTTACTCCATCAGCCATACCGCCTGACGCGCAAACCGTGACGGCCATAGCACCAACACGGTTCTTGACCTCATCTTCGATCAAGCTCGACACTTGCGGACGACCACTGTACATCTTGACCGTCTCACTGCTGCTCTCGACACGACCCTTGGGTCTTGAGATGAAGAGCTTGATGCGGAGACATTGCTTACGACCCTTCATGCGGAGGACCTCGTCCATCCAGGGTCGTACCCACTCTAGACAGTCGGATGTGGGGACTGTCCAGATGAGGACTATTCTTTGTGTGGCAGTAGTGCCGTTGTTGTAGCCGTTGACAAGGTGCTTTAGGTACATGACCTGGTGGGTGATGCCTACACCACCGGCGAAGAGCACCGCAGTGCCGTAGGAGTCCAGGCTGTGGTGGCCGCCATACGGACCTTCGATGAAACCGAAGGTGGTGAATTGCTCGTTGGGGCTCTTGCAGGCCTTCTCGTACATATGGCGGGTAAGTCCTGTACGAGCACGGCAGACAAGACTGATTTGCTTGGACTTTTGAGGTCGGCCATGGAGGGCGAGGACATCGCCTTCAAGCATGGGCAGTGTCATTTCTTTTGATTCGGGGGTGAGAGTAGCAGCCCAGGCAACCGAAAAGGGATGCGAAGACCACAAGGATAGGGCTGGCATCCACATGTGCACGTGACATCCTGGGCGGGGAGTCCATTCGCGGACCATGTTGATGGTCAGACGAACAGCTTCTCCGGGCATGGCCTCAACGGTGATTGAAGATCGTTGCCTGACACCAAAGCCATAGTAGATGATCGAGGCCCATCGGCAGACCCACTCGGCACCCCAGAAGAAGAAGACCAGGTGCATCCATGGGACTTGGGGGAGGTGGTGCAGCTCCAAGTGCTTGTAGAGACCAAGAAGGGCGGCAATGACACAGAGACGGTGGATGTTGAGGAAGGTCTCGTAGAAGGCGTGACGGAACGGCGACCATGCTTGAATACCAAGGAAGGTAAATGCTACGGTTCCTACCATACCCCAGCCGTATGAGCCTTCAGTGTGGAGAGCGGCTGTAACGGCAGGCCATCCTGCTGCGAGCTTGGTGTTGTACAACCAGGCAGCCGTGTGGACAATGGCCTCAGCGATGGTGATGCGTGCAGCCCAGCGGTGGAAGAGGTTGAAGTCATCGTAAGAGACTTGGAGAAGAGTGATGAGCGGGTTGTTGCGGAGGGCGAAGAGGATAGTGGGGATGAGGTTGAGGGCGGCAAGTGTTCCAGAGCGTCCACGGAGCGCAGCGAGGGTCTCCTTGTGGTCGAGCACCTTGTAAGGGAGAGCGACACACCAAGCTACGTTGAGGGCAACATAGATGACCAACATTATGGTGTGCCATCTGCCAGGGAGAGTTCCGTTGTCGATGGCGCTGCTAATCTGGAATTGGGCGTTATGCTTCTTCTTCCATAGGGGTGCCATGAGGACATGTCTGTTGAGCCACGGCCACCAGCTTGTCCGGTTGACCTCCCAGTACTTTTGTTTTGAGTTTCCCATTGCGCTCAGATGACGGCTGTGTTTCCACCACATGTTTGATATGCGTAGAAGAAGGAGAAGTCCAGAGATACCTACAAGGAGGTACAGGAATGTGTCTACCCATAGGTAGTTGCCGACTTGGTCTACACCCTCAAGACCGTACGAGTATTTGAGATCATCGAATTCGGCAGCATCCCAATTTGACAGAAAGTGGCGCTTGGCGAGTGGTGTGGTTGGCTGGGCGCCACGGAGGCGGAGAAGCCGTGTGAGAGACATGTCTCGGTAATTGTATTTCGGTTGTAGAGAGAGAGGTACAGGTCGCTTGTGAGTCGGTGCTCACAAAGGGATGCTAGCTGCAGGTTCTCGAAGATGCGAGGCTACGTGATGCGATGCGATGCGAACAGTGAATTGTTGCGCACTACCAGGTGCTTTCAGTGACGGGATTCTTGAAGCAGGAGAAATAGCGCGACGTCGTTGTCAATGGACCTATATCCCACGGGCGCTTTGCGAAGCGGCTGGTGTTGACAGTGTGGGGTAGGAATAGGCCGTGGTCACGGTGAATACATCACAATGTGTCGTGAAGTAGCCGGTGTGTATGCACAAGGATTGAGGAGAACCGACAGTGCGCTGCACGTCGAAGAGGATGAATTGGTGGTAGTGGTAGTGGGAGTGTTGAAAACGAGGCGCGGTCCAGTCCGGTGGAACTAGCTGACAATAGTGCGTAGGCGGCGAATTGGCGATGTGCGGTATCGATAATAGCGACAGTGAAGGCGAGTAGGGCCGAGGGTCTTGAGCAGCGACGTCAATAGGCTTTCTCTTCACCGGGGGGACTAGGCGTGGAAATAGGGGACGTGGAAACGGGCTCGTGGGATGTATGAGAAGCGAAAGTGTATGTACTATGTTGCCGTAGCGAGTGAGCAACAAGTGGACAAGAAACGAAGGTATGGAATCGACACGACAAGGGACGGCGGAGCGTGAGGTCAGAGGGGGAGCGAGGGAAACAGTGGATATGAGGTTCGCAACATGGGAGGGTTGGTGAGGCCAATGCAGGGGTCGAGGAACGGAACAGGCGGCTGATTGGCTCCGCAGCGCCCGGCCGGCCTAGGCGCTGAAACGACACGAAGGAAGCTGTCCACTCACATTGCCGTGCCTGGATGCGCCATGAAACCAAGCCTCAGCTCACCGTCTGTCCACCGCCAACGGGAATGGCCGAGAGAGAGGTTGAGGCCATGAAGCATGTGACGAGTGCCGATTCCCGGGCTGCTCCACGCTGCATGATACGCTCTGGGATGTCGTGCGTACTGGCCCCGTCTCCCATCTCTTGCGCACCGAGTACAGTGCAGCTGCACCCTTCTCCTGCCATGATCCCGTCTCTCAGAGTCGACTCGTCCCATCATGACGCTCCGCCACACCCGTTCACACAATTCACAAACCAGCCGCCCAATCTATTCCTGCCAATACGGTTGCACGCGCAAGGTCCATCCCAAGACTTGTGCGGCTCCAGAACTCCGGCGCCTAAAAGTAGACCGCCCAAAACAGAACAACAAGCGAGTCAACCTCATCAGCAACCTGGGGAAGATCGCTCGCATCGGTATTGGTAAAACGGCTTTCGCGCGCCTCTCATGCATCTTGTCCAGTTTGTCAGGCCGCCGAGGCAAAACCCATTCCTTGGGCCCGCCACGCCCTGTCCTGATGAAATCTCCACCTGCACTATTGCGCGAACCGGAGGAGGATGAAGAACCCTGTGAGTCGAGTCGGTCTCTGTCGGCATCCCTGAATCTGGGAGTTGAGCATTCGATTCAACCGTCTTGTCATGTGTGCGTCGGGCGTTGGGTGAGTCTGGCAGGAAAAGCCATGTCAACTTCATGCGATGGCAGTAGCCGTGCCATGCCCTGGACTGCGCCACACACAAAGAAAACACGTGCACTGCCGCGGCTGCAGTAATGGCCGTCGTTGGACCAGACGGTCCGCTGTCGCGACCTCCTAACTCCTAATCATTGACAATGCCCACGTCTACTATCATCCCATCGCTCTGTCCCAGTCTTGTAAACTCATCAATTCGCATTGCCACGATTCACCAAGCCCGCAGGTTGCATTCGGAAATGACCTGCAACAATCCTCCCCCACGGCGACTCGCGACTCCCGTCCCTGTCGCGACTCAATCCTGACCCAAGGGAGACCCTACCGTCTTGAGAGATAAGATTGAAACTCCAAGACTCCAAGACATCGGTTACCCGGGTCTCGGTATCAGGCCCCCTTGACGGTGAACTTGAGTTTGCCCAGTATTTTCTAGGCAATAAAACAGAAAGATTGGCTAATCATCTACACAACCCACCTTACATTATGGTCATGCCACCCTCAGAACATCGCTCACCCTACTGCCAATCTGCCATGTGCATCTCCGACTTGGTGTTGCTTGCATGAGCCCCGCTTCTGTTGTTGCCCCTCCGTTCCTGTCGTGTTTCATACAAGCGATAGCTTCGGGAGAGAAACCTCCTTCCGTCATCGCTCACGGCAGCTCGCGATAACGTCGAAACAATGCTTTTACGCCGTGTAGCAATGCGCCGCCCCGCCGGCTGTCAAACAATAGCGCCTGGTAAACGGCGTAACGCCCATCCGTCCAATCCTTCGCTTGCGCATAAACACCATACTATACCCACAACACACGAGAGGAAAATCCAGTCGCAGGTTATAGGAAGTGAGGAAATTTCTTCACAATCTGATCGAGACCATCCACAGTAATTTGCAATTACCCAAAACGCCGAAATTTCCATCTGCATCGATAGCTGCGCGCCTCCGCCTTGGTGCGTATAGCGTCGCGCTTCGCCTTCGCACCTGCAGTGCCCAAAGTCCGGTTCCACGCCGTCATGACCCCAAGAAAGCTGAAAAGTAAAAGTGTAAACTAGTGCCTAGATCCATCTACTGCCTGCCCGAGAATATTACTCGAGCCGCTGCACGGTCGTTCTCATCTCGTACCCATATGATACCAAGCATTCTTCACGACCCGACCGACACTACAGCGGCACGCATTGTGTTGCAACGCAAGTATACCTATGGCCTGTCTACATTTTCTATACTCAGATCTCTCCGATCACGCGAGGCCGTTGCCACGTTACTTTTCCAAAACCGCCGTTCCCACAAGCGTACCAATCTATCGTATTCCTCCACCCCACCACATGCATGAAGACCGAAAAATCGAAGCATCGATCGATGGACACCGGGTTTTCGTGCGACCCGAATACGAACCCACCTTTTCATCCTCACACAATTGACGCTCCTCAAAAGGACCGATAACACCTACCAACACATCACAACATCACCATCGACGCTTCCAGAACGCATAAACGTGTACCCTGCTACCTGTTTCTTGTCAGTTCCCGTGTCAGAAAAGCTTGTGTTTGAAACGCTTTGATACTTTTCAGACATTATGTCATTTCGCTAAATGATGTACCTTGGGTTAGGACGCCACAGGCCACAACCATGGATTGGGTTGGAGCGTCTTAACATGAAACACGATAGCGACAAGACTCATCACATAAATGCGGTGAAGGGCTTGTTGGCTGTTGGTAGAACAGCCCAGGCTATAGAACAACCGTCTTGACTTTTCTCCCGGTAATATCTTCTTAAGTTCTCGCTCGTGTCATGATGGTTCGATTGTAATTTGATGGTAAGAAGGATCCGAGGAGATTTTGCATCGACGTAGATTATCCATAGAGACATTATTAGATTACCAAGTCTCTCTCTCTTACGGCCGTATAGTATATTCCAAGTCAAATCGTTCTTACCCGTCCACACAGTTCCCATACTGTTTGAGAAAACTATGCAGCTCTATCAGCGAGTCCGTAGGGCTAACTTCCATGTAGCGACTCTGCGAGTCACCAGCATGTGCCAACTCAAGAACTTTACATGTAACCCACCACATCTCCAGACCATGTTTGACGAAGCCCAACGACTTCTCACGCTCTGCCTCATGTTTTGTATGCAAAGTGTCCCAAAGCTCTTTCCAGCGCTTCGTTGCGCGAAGTAAGTCGCGATATGACGACGGCGTCAGAAGCGCAGCTCGCGATACGAAGATGATGGAATGCAGTGCTACAATTTGCATTAGCCCATATTCATGGTGCAGACAAGCGAACAGACGACATGACTTACCGAATACGCAGATCATAAGGTGCCTGAGCTCGAGTATGCTGAGAAGCGGATTCTTCTGCTCGTCCGACCAGTTCTCGCTCATCAGCAAAGCTACCAGCTGCTTGATACTAGGTATCTGCTTCGTTGGGCGCAATGATTCTACGCATAACCGCTCGTACTCTTTTTGTGTCCAAGCATCGTAAAGCGCGTCATTGCACGGAAGTCGTTGGTAAATTTCTCCTATAGCCAGATTCGGAAGCAGATTGAAGAAGAAGGTATTCATGTAATCCATGACGCACATGAAGTGTACGATCCTGGGGTGGTTAGTGCTGCAATTCATTTCCGGGTTCTGCGAATACACTGGCGGCTGATTTACCTTACTCTAGACTCTTCTGCGATGAATGCATCCCAGTCGGGCACCTTGTTTTGATGACTTGAATGGATCATCGGATCGAGCAACCTAAGGGACCGTATGGCAACGGTCAGCTCTGGGTGCCTTGAGACCCGAACCCTTCTGCGAACTGCCTCGCTATTGAAGCTACTTTGTAAAGCCACAATAAGTAAACCGGCTTGTACGCTTTCCATTGCATGAGGATCGCTATGTAGATCAGGTTTCGCTGCTACTATATGGCGCAGTTGCTCGAATATGAACTCTTCACCAAAATCAAAGAAGGCACGACAGGACAATGCGCCATCCGTTGGAGAACAGTGAACCGATCCGCCAAAAACGACGGCAAGCAAAAGTGGCAGCGAGACACTATGCATATCGAACGTGGGCCAATGAAGAAGCGGTTGTTGTGGGTGAAAGACCGTAAAGTAAGCCCACACACATTCCTCGAAGTTTTCAGCAGTGAAAACCGCTTTCGCAGCGTTCACTGGAAATATGTCGCCGCAATCAAGGTCAGCTGTTCGACGCGTCTTGCTGAACGAGAAGAGTTGAGAACAAAGCTCGTCAACCCTAGACTGAAGAATGGCAATCGGTTGAGACCTTCCTGATGCTGTTGGCGTCGAAGCACAAACATCCGCGCCAGTATCCATAAAGAGATCTGAGAAGATGCTAAAGAGTGCCATGTCCCCTTCGAATAGTTGGTTGCTTGCATTAGAAGCTATGTGGCTACCGAAAAGTTGTGCAGGTGTTCGTTCATCAGCGAAAGCATTGAGGATCGATTCGCGGCGAGGGTCCGAATAACGATACAGGAATATGATTGGGTAGGGAAGGAGCCTCTGGGCGTCTTCTACCCGTATCGTGGTGTGACCATTCACGTCACTGGCGTTGATGCCACTGGCGAACAGGCCTGACATCTGCGCCTGATTATCACTTTTTCCAGGTCGAGGTGGTCGTCCTGGTCTTGCTGAGGCTATCGCGTCATTTTCTCCTCTTTGTTGACATGACTTTGAATGCCTTCTCAGGACATCACTGCGCAGGAGTTGATGTCAGTCTGCTTGAGGCTAACAAAGCTACACGAGACACGTACTGACGGATGAAGGTGCGATTGCAAAAGGCACAAGCGTTTAAGCGATTGCGTGTATCTCACTGGTGTTAGGCATCAGATGGCTAATTCCAAGATAGTGAACATACGACTGGCTTCATGCCTCCGCAAGTGACTATTACTCGAGAAGAATTTTCTGCATGTAAGACATTGATGGGATGTGCCTCCAGCTCTTGGCTCGCTGCGATCTGACATTGGTTCGTTATTGGTGCCGCTCGTAGTGTGGGCTTTTCGGGGTTGGATGTGGGTTTTTGGTAACAAGGGAATGTGGGCTTTCCTCTCATGTGGGCTTTAATTGCGCCCGCCTTACCCTAAAGAGTAAGACACGTGATACACCATCAATCCTCTGCCCATATCATCTTGTACCAGGGAGTATGCTGCAGAAGCGAAACTACTTCCCTCCAATACTCTTGGTAGTCATGTCGAAGCTTCGAGAGTTCACAAGCTGCAAAATCCACTATGCGTTCTGTACTTTCTCACTTTGTGAATCTCGAGTATACTGTACTGACATTGCCTAGCATACATCATAAGACCTCGTATTTCAAATTACGTATCCGGAGTCACAGAACATCGCAGACTCTCTAGCTGTTCTTCTCTTTCCGGAGACATAAAAACTAACCGACAGCGCAAAGAAACTCTCCTTCCATCCACCAGTGTCAAACCCAGAGGCGTTGTCGAACATGTCCTGTAAGCAAAGCTCTCCAAACAGATGAAGTATACTCGCTGACAATCTCAGGACAACTGCGGATCAGATACTCAATTGGGCGCGACAGAGCTCACTCCACCCATTAAGCTTCGGTCTCGCCTGCTGCGCCCTCGAAATGATGCACTGCTCGATGCCTCGCTACGACCAGGACCGACTAGGGATTATCTTTCGAGCGTCTCCTCGTCAGGCAGATGTAATGATTGTTGCCGGCACAGTCACCAACAAGATGGCTCCCGCTCTTCGGCAGTGTTATGATCAAATGCCCGAGCCACGATGGGTGATCAGCATGGGAAGCTGCGCGAATGGTGGTGGCTACTACCACTATAGCTATAGTGTGGTGAGGGGCGTAGACAGAATTGTTCCCGTGGAAATATATGTTCCAGGTTGTCCGCCAACAGCTGAAGCGTTATTATATGGTATCTTCCAGTTGCAGAAAAAGATTCGGCATACTAAGGTGACGAGAATGTGGTACCGGAGATAGCCGACTTGCTGTAGGGTAGGAAACGGTGGACATCTGAAATCCACAAAGATCATTGTGCTCAGCATTGCTCTCACTTCGGTGTGCGGCACACACTATCGCTTCTTCCTAGTTGTTTGTTGCCCCTTCTCTATACATCTGCATTGCGATCGTAGCCTCACCACTCACCACTCACGACCCTTTTGAGATACATTTCCACTTTCAGGCAGTTCTATTTAACAATTGTATCGTCAACCGCGCCACTTTTATTTTATAGTAATTGTGGCATCTCGAAAACGCATACAGCACGAACATCAGGCATATTGAAGAGCAACGTTAAAAATAAGCGCAAACTCTCTTAAAGATGCACATTTCCAAGCCCATAGAGCCCGAAATTTCTGACCATTACTTCGACCTGGGTGTGAATCGGCGTGCTACAGCAGCAGATGTGAAGAAGGCTTTCCACATGCTAGCGCTACGACACCACCCAGACAAGAAAGCGCCGGGTAAGACGATAGATGCCGTCGAGTTCAGACAGGTACGTGTACTTACCGGCAAAGCTTTATGAAGTTGAATTGACGAATGGTAGGTACGAGAAGCGTTCGAAGTACTGAGAAACTCCACGACACGAAGCGAGTATGATACACGGTACAATGAAGTACAAGAAGAGTGGAATGAGTACCGCAGCAATCTTGCTGAGTATGTGCTTCAAGAAGAGCGAGAACGTCTTGAGGCAAATAATGAGCGAGTGCGTATACTAGAGGAAGAACGACGACTTGCAGAAGCGAGACAGCGCGAAGCAAAAGAGGAAGCTCGTGCCAAAGTGGAGCGTACTGCTCGACAAGAGAAAGAACGACTCGCGGAAGAGCGATCACGTCAAGCAGCAGAACGAGCACAAAAAGAACTAGAAAAGGTGGCCGAAGAACGCCTCCGCCAATGGGAAGAAGATCAGGGGGCCAAACTAAAGCAGCATTGCGAACAGCTCCAGAGGCAGGCGGAGAAGAAGAATATGATGGAGGAGATGATGATGATGGAGGAAGACATGCTGATTATGGAGGAGGACATGATGAGTATGGAGGAGGACATGATGATTATGGAGAGGGAGATGAATGTGATGGAGGAGAACATGAATATGATGGAGGAGGACATGATGATGAATAAGAAGATGATGATGAATGAGAAGAGGAAGATGATGGAGAAGAAGAAAATGATAGAGAAGAAGAAGATGGAGAGGAAGAAGAAGGCGGAGAAGAGGGGCAGGGGCCAGGGGAAGAGAAGAGCGAATAAATAAGTGTTGCAAGGCGCAGAGGATAACCAAGGCTGTCCGCATGCAGACATCACGCACGATTACAAAACGCGCAGTCGAAGATAATAGTCACAGAATTTAGTAATGATATAGAATGTCCGACGAGGGCCCTACACTTACAATAATAGCAAGTCAACAAGCCACCTAGTCATGCCAGTCAAAAAACCTTAGTGTGCCGTGACTGTCGTAAACAAGATTTAAAGTCCCATCCCAACACCGGGGGTATCTTTGAAGAATGAACTTTTCCCCATGCCCCAAAACACCTTTTTATCCCGTCTCGCCGTCCAGAGGTCCCTAATAAAACACATCCAAAGAAGAGAGAAAGGATAAAGTAAAAGAGGTTGGTAGAGTGGACTTTAACCAGTCCATCCCATGTCCCCACCTTGTTGTCCACCTTGTTGTCCCATCCTCTGGGCCTGCTGCTGCGCTTGCCGCATCATCATCATCTGGTTCATCTGCTGCGGGTTCATGCCCTGCATTCCTTGCATACCCTGCATGCCACCATTCATCTGTCCACCCTGCATACCTCCCATGCCTCCATTCATCTGTCCCATTTGCGCCATGTTCATGCCCTGACCCATGTTGCCCATGTTACCCATGTTCATGCCCTGCATACCACCGCCTTGCATGCCGTTCATGGCATTCATATTGCCCATCATGCCCTGAGGCAGTTGACCGCCGCTCGCCATGGCTTGCTGACGCATCTGCAGGAGTCGCGACTGATTGGCGGCTTGTTGACGTTGTTGTTGGAGCATCTGCTGGTACTGTTGCATTTGCATTGGGTTGGTCGGATTGCCGTTCTGCATACCGTTCTGCATGCCGTTCATCTGTCCACCATTCATCTGATTGCCCATACCGTTCTGCATGTTTTGTGCCATGGCAATTTGCTGCTGTTCACGCGCTTCTCGTTGCTTGATCTGTATTTCCATCTGATGGATCTGTTGCATAACTTGCTGAGGGATGTTCTGGCCGTAATTCTGCATAACCGACTGCTTGTGTTGCTGATACCGTTGCCGCATCTGCTGCAGGTTCATGTTAGCAAAGGCCATGCCTTGTGGAGGCATACCATTTTGCTGCATGCCTCCCTGAGGTGACATGTTTTGCAAGGCCAATTGCTGTTGATTCTGCTGCTGCTGTTTCAGTTGGTTGAAATATTGCTGCGCAAGGTGATTGCGGTATGCTTGTGGATTTTGACCTGGAGGCACTCCTTGCGTCTGAATATGCTGGGCGGCCTTTTGGAATGCAATTTGTTGCATTTGTTGTTGTGGATTACCTGGTGATCCTCCTTGTTGCTGCATTTGCTGCATACGAAGTTGCTGCTGTAGGCGCTGCTGTTGCATCTGCTGCATCTGTTCGGGGGTCATATTCTGGCCAGATTGAGGAGTTTGCATCATCATTGGTGTCTGCCCTTGCATTGCCATAGATGGGCTGCCCTGGTTCATGCGACTAGGAGTAGGCGTCATGTTGCGATTCGGCATCGAGGCGTTCATTACGGGCGTGCCCTGTACGATGTGCGGCGTGCCGGTGCGACTCAGGTTCTGCTGCTGACTGACGGAGCGAATCATATTTTGATGGTTAGAGACAGCAGACGGCGGTCGAGCAGGGCTGTTGATAGCTTGATTCGATGCTGTTGGAACCATTGGAGTGCCGCCCAAGTGTTGCGCAGACTGCCCTCCAACCAACGGCGAAGCTGCAGAGACAGCCATGGGCGTCTGCTGGCGTATGGTTGGTGAGAATTGAGATTGCGTAGCCGATTAGGGTGTCTGTGTAACCTGTATCGCTGCCGCATTGGACATCTGGTGCTGTGCTGCCGCAGCGGCTCGCGCGGCCTCGTTCTGTTGCTGGTTTTGCTGTAGTTGCGCCTGATGCGCTTGCTGACGAAGGGCTTGTTGCTGCTGTTGACGCTCCGCAAGCTCGGCTTGCTGCCTGTTCTCCATCTCCCTTTTTCTCTGGATCTCGGCCTCCATCTGCGCCGCACGCTTGGCCTGAGCAATTCGAGCATCTTCTTCCTTCTTCCTCCGGTCGGCTTCCTCGTGATTTGCGCGGATGTTAGCAATAGTCTTGAAGCGGGCGAAGGTCTGGGAATTCGCAGCAGCGCGCACGGCGTTGTCGTCGTTGCCTGTAGCGGTGGCCGTCATGATGCTCTGGTACTCGTCGCCTGCCAACATGAAGCGCTGCATGTTCTGCGCTTCGGCCTCGTCGGCAGCCAATTCGGCGGTAGTCCTCTTACGAGTCTTGCGTGGAGGCGCGGGGTTCTTATTGTTCGGATGTGTGATGGCATCCATGAGAGCGAGGGATTGGCCGAAGCTCTTGGTTGGTTCCAGGTAGAGGGGCGGGCATGTAGCGTTCAAAAACTCAGCCTCGAACTCGTGCACGTTGCTGTCGTCAAGGACCATTTTCTGCCGCTTCGGACTGGGCCCATTAGGAAAGGTGGGCGTTGAGGGTACTGCAGTCATTGGAGTCGGTGGCATGCCCCCAGCCCTGCCCTGGGCCTGCATTCTTTTGAGGGTGGCCATGTCAGGGACGGGCGTGGTGGCCAGAAGCTGCATGTCGGCCAGTTGCGACTGCGGAGTCGGAAACAGCACCACTGTCCTGACCTTGCCAATCCCAGGCTGCTTCGACAGGGCGCCGTTCTGACCCGGAGCGGGCATGTTCTCCTTGTCCTCCTTGGTCTCGTCGTCTTTGCTCTGTGCGTTAGGCTGGCCAGGCTTCGCATCGGGCTTGTTGACTGGGAATGGAGCGAAGGGGGAGGGCGTTATGAAGTTGTTGTAGTTGTGGATAGAGAAGGCGCTGGTGCCGGCCTCGCCCGTGCTGTTGGTATCATCTTTGGGCTTGACGCCGGCGGAGCGGTAGTCGTGAACTTCGACGATGAGGCAGTTGTCGTACCAGGGCGTGTTGAACTCGTAGAGCTCCTCGACCATGTTGTGGGGCACCTCCTTGTCCTTGATGGCCTGCAGCAGCTCGCGCATAGGAGAGGCATAGGACAGCGTCTCCTGGGAGTCGTTCAAGCGGAAGTGCTTGGGGTGCAGGTAGACACGGAGCGACGGCGGCTTGCCCTTGTGCCTGGCCAGGATGTCTTGCTGCGTATAGACTGCGCCGTGTGTTAGCAACTGTGCCCTTTTTTGCCGTGGCCCAGGCGACGTACCATATTTGCGGGCATCCTCCTGCTTCACGCCCTCGTCCTCCATGTTGGACTGGCGGGTCATGGTGCGCGCGACGCCAGGGCGCTGTGACTCCCGGCGCAAACGGGGAGGCTGCGACGGGCGGGCAACAGCGACTGAGCCTGACATGCTGGTGGTGACGGAGCTCAAGCTCGTGAATCGACAGTGGGGCGGGCGTGGGACGGGCTCTCGGCCTGGGCAACTACAGCCGACAGTCGTGTGGCCTGCAGTTGCTGGAGAGAGGGACAGAGGGCAGGCGCAAGTGTGCGCACGATGCCCGAGGTGCTGCTGGCAGTACGCGACGGGGAGTAGACTCGGGAGCGGTCGGGCGTCTGATTGGGGATGTCTCGACGCGTGAAGATGGGCGACGTGATGTTTGCTGATCCGAGCTGATGCGCCGCTGCCTCCCCGTACATGCGCCAAGGAACCCTGTCCTGTTTCATCATCGACCACGTGACCATCGCTTCCCCACGACTTTCCACTTCATGTCATGTGAGCGACATCATGGAAGCGATATAGGCGGGCAGGGAGATTCGTCGAGATAGTTTGCTGACTAGCTCTCGAGTCATCAGCTTCCGCATGTCCAACCATCTCATAGTACACTGTACAATGCTCCGTGTGTCGGGTCTCTCTTCACTGTCTATACTGACACCCATCGAGCGTTGATGATATGTTACCGTGTGTACACATACGAGCAAAACCTGTGATATGACCATATGGCGTTCTTTTCGATTATTCTGTACTTCTACCTTCAGTCTACTCCACGACGCAAGAAATAATCACTCCGTCTATACCACTAACCTCAACATCTCAACATGGGTTGGTACTGCTGCACTTGCGGGAACGGAAACGCCGGGGATGGCGCATGCCCGGGCAACCCTCTATGCTCCAGCTGCACCCATCACTATTGCTACAGTTGCGGTCTGGGCGCGTGTGCCCGAAAGGCAGTTCCGCGACCTACTACAGCGCCGGTTTGCAGGCCAACAAGGAAAGGCGGGGAAAAGAGCGTGGAGGATGATCGGAACGACGACTGCCTTGTCTTGCAATAGAAATACAAAGGGTAAAGAAGAGTTCACAGTAGAAGGAAACAGTAGTGAGAGATAGAGCTATCGGAGAGTCATTTGTATTGAAATGCAGATATGCGACTGATTTATGGTGCATCATTAATCTTACGATGGCATGACATAATTTGCTGCTCGGTTTGACAACACCGGGTAATGACAAAAATGCAAGATGTGACTGATAGTAGTGTGGTTTGTTGGTTGATCCGAGTAATGGAACTAAGAATTCTCGATGTATATGTGAGTCATGCTAGCGTGTTCTTCAATTCACGGAACATCGCGTCTCTTCCTAACCACACGTGTGCGACCTCACAGCGCGTACGCGAGCATTCAGAACAGAGCCTCGGGTACAAGCTGCCTAAACAATCATGATAATTTACCGAAGAACAAGATCCCTGCTCTCGCTATGAGAACGGCAACGCAAATAAACAGTACGCGAAACCACTCACCCAAGAGCACAGCTCTTGCAACCCAATCAGCCTATATCAGTTCCATTGATACTCTCTCAAACTAGAGTTTCCCACACAAGACGACCAAAATCCAGGTCCTTGGTCATTGGTCCTTGGACGCACCTTAGCAGATAGACCTGCGACGTTCAACGTCCCAAAACGCGAAACCACAGCGCCGGTACTTCGAGCCTTCCGGATACGCACGCCCTCGATGCATAACCGCATGTGCCGAGACTAACACGCGAGCCGTCTTTATGCTACAGAGAGAAAGGGAGCAAAAAGAGTGGAAGAGGCGCTGTTGGTGGCTTACTGTGCCGTGTAATGGGATTGCGGCGTAGGTCGCAGAGGTGCGTTAGCGGCGCGGTGTCATGTTGTGTGCGGAGTCGCCGAACCACTCTTCTGGACATCAAAAGAGAACAGAGACGAAGGAGACATGTAAATGAGTTCAACAGGTGGTATACTGAATGGCGATGGCGTCGTGAGTCGTGAGTAAGGATCTACGATCTATCGTGCGTTAGTAGATTTCCATGTTCGCCCTACTCAGCTGTCAAAACACGTCGAAACCGCACTGTAGGTTAATGTTCCTACCGGGGGTCCTGCCAAACACGGCCTCTGATCCGCAGCACGTACTCTTAACGTACAATGTGTCAGGTCTCAGGATCGTCTTCTTTCCGGGAGGTCAATGTGTAGCTCATCGCATGAACGAAAGAAGTGGAGCAGCGGCAAGCTCCCAAGGCTGTCTAGATCACCTGGCGTTTTAGGCGCCCAGTGTTCTGGCTGTTTTGAGTGCCATGACAAGTGAACATCAGATGGGGGTGCGTGACACTGTTGAGATAGCAGATGGAGAAAGGGACGCCGTGCCATTGAGGGTATTTCCTATCCGAAAGCAATCAAATCAAACTATGTAACAAGATGGACGAACCAGGAAAGAGAGAGAGGAATGGTAGATATTACCGTGACGAAGCCTTGCAAGACAGTTCAGAGATATTGGACTCTATTCCCGATCGGTACTAATGAGAGTATGAACAAAATGAAAGATCTAGCTCTGCCAGATCATGGACTAACATCGACGACGATGTCTCGTAGCGATTAGTTTATGGCGATGGGAGCTTGCCTGCGAGCTCCACATAGCGCGGCCAGGTATTGGTGAAGACAAGGTACTTGATGCTTTCAAAAGCAGCATCGAAGACGTCTTCCGTGAATTCGCTCGGGACTATCGTCCGTGTGCTCGCCGTTGACGAGGATGTGATGCTGGAGTCGATACTCGCTGGTCGGCTCAAGGTATCCTCCCATGGGCAGACGACGTTCTCTCGAATGACCGGTGACTTGACATCATCAGGTGTCTGGCTGCGTGGCATATATGGATCGAATTCCACGTCTGCGAACATGACCTGTAGTGTCTTGAAAACCTTGTATTCGATGTTGATCGGTGCCTCTGCAGTGAAGGGGTTGACGAGCGTGTAGAAAAGCAAAGACGCTTCGTTGAACATCTGCCGCCGTTGGGAAGTGGTGACAACCTTTAGGCCACCCCATTTCTTCTTGAAGCTGCGCACCTCGCGCAGGAAGATGCAGTTCTCGGCGGTGAATTCACGAGCAGCAGCCCAGGCAATCAGAGGTTCGATACTATGCTGAATAGTGAACTCTAGCGACTGCATCGACGTCTTGGACCTCATCTCCTTGGTGAAAACCACAGTAGTCGATTTTTCGGACATGACCGAGTGGTTGGAGGTAAGCGAGTCAGTTTCAGATATGGATGCTCGTCGATTGGGGCGGGCCCTCAATGCGTCTCGGAGTGGTATAATGATCAAAACTTGTTGGCAGACTACTAGTGACGGTATGAACCTATATGACAGTGTTAGAATTGACGATGAAGTTCTCAAATTGACTGCACTTACCATCCAGCTGGTGCGAAGAATTTGTTGATGTGCTGGACTTTGGACATGTCAGAGTACGTGAAGGCGATCCAAAGAGGCGTCCCGGGAAGGCTAGTATTCGGGTTAGTTGTGTGAATAGTTCGTGATACAGGCGCACATACCCGGCAATGATTGCGAGTCTCGTTTGCCAGGCCCAAGAGTGAACGTCCTTGATGTTACGGATCTTCCACAGTATCCAAGGTCCAACAATCATCGTCCAGAACAGCTGCACAAATATTGAAGGGATCCTGCTTTGAAATCAATGGAATGGTTCAAAAGTCATATTCGCTCAACATACCACTCGCCTCCTCTGCGGCACTCAAAGTAATTGGCCGGAACACCAAAGAAACCGTAGGCATCATGGAAACGACGGGAGCCGAAAAACAACATGATGGCTGGTAGGAACTATGGCCGTTAGCTGTCTGCAATTCGAGCCACCACAAATCATCACCTACCGAAAGCACTAATCCGACCAGAGTTCCAAAGTACACTTTCTTTGCCGCATCAAGATCGCGCCATGCTTCGTACAGGCCAAGAGGGGTGTAAGATATCCGCTTCCTGCGCGCACCCTCCAGAAAGTTGCGTGTCATCCGACGCTGGCTCTCATATGCTGTGAGCACTTTGGCATTGCAGGCTAAAAAAGACTTAGTATGCATCCATTGCTATATCGGCCCACCGGACTTACCTTGGAAGAATGCCATGCCAGACGGGAGAAATACTGACATAATCCAGAATTCGGCTGAGCACGGAAAGAGGCCATTCCAAGGGTAAACGAGCAGGACGAGGATGAGATAAATATGTAGCATAAGCACTGCTGCAAAGACGACCTTGAGATTTCTTATCTGCAGGCAAAAGGCTTCTCTACGTCGATGTAGGAAGAAGAGCTCCACACCCAGTATCAGTGTGTACACTATGGCAACGACGACATAGAAGATACCAAGAGCGTCGGTGTTGGGTTTTGTTGTGCCATCGAGTCTTCGTGGGCGCAAGAGAGGCGCCATGTTGACCATGCTGTGTGGATACCAAACGGATGTGATAGTTTCGATTGACAATCGATGAGGTATGAGGATTTGAATGTCAGGCTCTGCCTCTTACTTAACAAAACGAAAGTGGGGACGTGTAGCGGAAGGAATGGAGGCAGCTGGTACCGAGAAGACGGGACAGGTCATGCAAAGGGCACATAGGCGAAAGGAGCGGCACACGACTACTATGAAGGACGGGAAGACGTAAGAAGTATTAAGACTACCTCGCACATGGGCCAGGTTCAGCACAGAATACGACAGGGAGGGTTTAGCTGCGGCTTCGGTGGTCTAAGCGGCAAGGGATTGCTCGTTGTTAGATGGGTCAAATGGTATTTAGCCACCAGAGGCTAGTGATTGTTCCTGATGTGTAACGGGAAGAGAGCGCACCATCTGCAGGGAGAGACGCGTGAACGCTATGGCGGAGAGATGTGTCACGACGGCTACCATGGGAGCACAAGCTACTACCTTGCCAAACTGCGACCGCGGAGAGCAATCTGACGGCCGCCTTCAAACATGCTGGTCGATATGCGATGCACGGATGCGTGAACGGTAAGAAGACGGTTGGGTACGTCGTGCGGTTGATCGTGTTCTGGTTCGTGCTGGATCGTCGCATCCGAGATCAGACATCGGAGGTTTCGGCACGACTGGACCTCCTAGGATCCCCCCAGGAACCGCTCTTCATCACCACAACACCAGATCTTAGATTTTCTCGTCCAAATGTGAGTTAATAGCTACACACGTCGAATAGCGTTGTATTACGGCCCCCGTTCACTGTAGCTCAAATGCGAATAGCGTTGCCCTGATCGTAATGGGTGCCGCGGTTGCGGGTACAGTGCTGAGCTCGACATGTCTAGGGCGCATTCCAGCGCTGCACCCGCCGAATTCTGCGACTATAGCAGTTGAAATATTGATGCAAACTGAGCTCATGTATACAGGAAGATCCATGTGGTACTGTGGTTTCAGTATCTCTTTGCAATTCTGCCCATTGACCGGCAGGAAGTCTGACATTCATGCGTTCTCTTATCCTGCGCAACTTTGAAAACATCGCCCTACGTCAGATCAGTCCCAAACCTCCTGTCAGTCCCAAAGGTTTCATGTCAGTCTTCTAGAAGATTACCTGCACTCCTGTCGTCGATACTTTAAGCTTGTCACCCGTACCTATGTACCTAGGTAGCTATCGATCGGACATAACATCCTTTTTAGGATATACCAGCATCTTTTGGCTATGTAGCAATCGGCGGAAACAACCCCGGGCCAAGAGCACGGCAAGACTGATCCACCAGAGCCACTTAGTGTGGGGAAACGTGTGGTGATACAAGCTGCCCAGTGTGGCTGTACCGTGGCGGCAGGGTCTTGATGCCTTCCGGCCGTGGATGTGTCGTGCCACCATAAAAGGGCTGTGGTTTGATGAAGACGAAGACCACACTCTCAGCAGCATGCCGGGAATGCATTCGCGGCTACCTGATTGCTGTGATACTTGACCAAGTGATGATTAGCGTCTCGCTCTCGATCCTGCGAACGTGATCAGATATGAGGATGTTGTCGAGAGCTTGCGGATTGTGCAACACTAAATAACAATGCGTTCATGCGCGAACATGGTCACATGAACCTGGGATTGTCTTTGGGTTTTGACTCACATCGCGGGGTGCTCGTAATCGCGAAGCATTGCTGCAGCTGCTTTCTAGTTTAACTGTAGTACTGCGATAACTTACCTATAAGCAGCGACAAGCTAGTTACAACTTCTGGCATCTATGCACTTCTTACGCAAAAAGAGTCCCTCCAATAAGAACTATCGCAGATACAAGTGACTCATCTTTGTACGGCCATACCGATGAAGACATTCATCTCACTATCACAAAAACTGAACATGGACGTAATTTTTGGTCATAACGAAGTGCTTCACAAGTCCAAAGTATTTCGCATTTCCTGATGTAACCAATCGGATTAACAATGTAACGTGCAGACATGGTGTTGCAGCATGTCGCTCCGCATGCCCCTGCATCTACCCGGAAATCCGGTTTCCGCTGCCGTTGATGTGTGGCATTGTTAGGATATGTGGTAGCACTCCGATCTTGACCTCACTTTACAGCCATTCCAAACAGGTTTCATTGTGACTGCCTAGATGATTCGAGCGGAAGCGATAATCCATGTACTACACGCCTTATATCAACACCTGTAACTTCGGCGTTAATCTCTCTGCAAGGCGCGTTCATATAGCGATCGAGTCGAATATGTTCGGGGCAATGGAAGTTGACGATTAGTACTATAGAACGGTGGTATATGTGCATCAATCAGAATATACATCCGTTTGCAGATGCAAGGAGCGATATGGCGTTGTACTGTGTTTTTAGAAAAACACAAGTGTCGCTAGAGGTGACTGTTCGTGCCATGTTTTTACTCAATCACTTTCCCGCAGTTCATGCTGGATACAAACTTAGGAAGAATGAGAAAGATATATCCGAACATGATCTGCTCGATGATTCAACTGTATATTGGGATATGTATAAGTATTTGGATTCGGCAAGCGTGATGGAGTGGAAGTGTGAGTGAACATCATGATGTCATAAGCCACACGATTCAACTGCCGAGGTATCCGGTTGTCTGAATACATCCACCATGTCATCGAACGTAATGCAACGCCGCATCCTGGAGCAGATCATGGTCACCTCAAAGCTTAACATGTAACGTCCAACATGTCGAGCCAGCAGCTCCATCTTGACGATTTTCCCCACTGCATTCGTAGATTTGCAACACGTTACAATGGCACCAGCAAAGCCTAAGAACATTGTAATCGTAGGGGGATCGTTAGGTGGCCTTTTGACTGGCGTCGCGTTGAAGCGCCTTCGCAAAGACCTCAATATTCGCATCTTTGAGCGTAATCCGACACCTCTTCTCCAGGATCAAGGTGCTGGTGTAGTGGCTGGACAAGATGTGCAAAAGTTCTTCAAAACGCACGACCGCAGCCAAACTACGTTGACAGTTCCAAGTCATCAAAGGTTATATCTTGATAAGGGTGGCAAGGTTATAGACCGTCACGACCAAGAGCAGCGTATGACGAGCTGGGATTTGCTGTACCACCTTCTACGAACCAACTACGATGGTACCGAAACCGATTACGCGAAGACGCCCACAGCGGAGGGAGGCGAAGGAAAAACATCGTATGAATACGGATGTACGGTAACCAGTGTTGTGGTGCCAAATCCTTCGTCGTCCTCGCTACTAGATTCCTCAGAGCCCGTCAGGGTCACTGTCCAGCACAAATCTGGGGAAACATTCACAACAGACGCAGACCTTGTCGTCGCAGCTGATGGGCCCAGCTCCAAAATACGTGCCGAATACTTCCCCGATGTGAAGCGGAAGTATGCCGGATACGTAGCATGGCGCGGTACGGTACCCGAGACCGAGGTTTCTCAGGCTGCCACCGATGTCTTCGTTGAGAGGTTTACGTTCTACCACACCGACGGCATTCAGATATTAGCGTATACCATCCCAGGCAAGAATGGGACGACAAAGCCCGGCGAACGACTGTTGAATTGGGTTTGGTATGTGAACTATAAAGAAGAGTCACCGGAGCACATTGAGCTCATGACAGACAATGAGGGAAAGAGGCACCACATTACACTACCTCCAGGTGGAATTAAGGAGGACGTATGGAGACGACAAAAGAACCTAGCGAATGAGAGTCTCCCACCACAGTTCTCTGAGCTCGTCAACAAGACCAAGGTGCCGTTCATACAAACCATCACGGATGTCATCGCACCCTCTGCTTTGCTAGCAAACGGTAGAGTACTATTGCTGGGTGATGCGCTGGCAGGCTTTAGACCACACACAGCTGCGAGTACGAATCAGGCCGCTCTTGACGCTATGAAACTTGCTGGCGCTGTTGAAAAGATCATTGAAGGAGGGGAATTGGAAGAGCTTCAAAAATGGGAAGAAGAGGTTATGGAATATGGCAAAAAGATGCAAGGTCATGGCGTGCAGATGGGCAACCGGAGCCAGTTTGGCGAACATCCGATGCAAAGATGAAGACAACCTGCGACCTAGACCAAACAGCCTAGGTAACAATAGCTAGTACCCAATATCGTTCGCCTCTCTAGCTGATTGACTTACATTATTAGCAGCATAAATAGCTACGACAGTGCTTCGCTTTTTCTTTTGGTGTCCTTGTGTTATCGTTTTCCTACATGTACCGTACCTACTATTGACATACATTTCAGTCTTCCTCCGGTACATTTGATTCTCTTACTCCCTCGGATACTTCTACTTGGGTACCTTTACTCAGCCTCATTCACCCTACCACCTAGCAAGAGCTACGCTCAGTACGCATATAAGGCTGTTTGTGCCATTTCTCCTTCAGCCTTCTCTGCTATATTTAACATTGCATCCACCCACATATCATCCAGCCCTTTGCCTCATTGACAACCTTTGACGTTTCTACATTTTGAATGAGCCACTTAAGTCGCCTGATCGCTTGGACTGCTAAAACGTTCTTGGGATCAATGAACGCGCACATTTTGCTGAGATGGCACAACCTTCCAAGAGACTGCAATTCGCTTACCATTCTGAAAGTAAGCGGGCTGACTCACGGGTAGTACTAAAAGCCTTCAGAATGTAAGCACTATTACATTCTCAATCAGAGCTTACATGACTGTAACCTAACTATTGGATCGAAATTGCTTGGGACGCACTTAAGAGCAACAAAGAATGATTCCAAATATAATAGCAGCCACGATCAGATACCGACCAAGTAGAATCTTTACCATCTCAGATTGACAGCACGGGACACTGGACAATGAAAAACTGTAGAGCGCACAGCAAGGATAATGAAAAGGGCACAAGGAGATGCTAAAGAAGTGGCAAACATATAGTAGAAACTAAAGGAACGAGGCGAGGAATCTAGTGGAAGACATACAGAACGAGTCAAAGCCACGGAAGCACCTCGCAAAGGGGAAGTGGGATAGAGAGCCACGATCAAACGACGAGATACAGAAGTAAGACGTGTGCGTCAGAGCTTCAACGAGCAACAGTAGAAGATATGCATGAAGGCACGGAGGCAGGAACAAGTCCAGATAAAAGCAATGTGGAAGTAAATCCCAGAATCAGCTTAACACAAGCAAGACAGACGCATCGTCACAATAAAGCCCAAAGAAGGATTACATGCTAAGAGAATGCCAACTGCTCAAACGGGGCCAGGTACGAGAGCAATCGCGGAAAGTTACCTAGGCATGCGAACGCCCCGGCCGTTAAAAAGCGACTTTGTCAGCAGCAAGAAGAAGAGCAATGGCCAAAGGTATGACATGTATGCGAATGCGACGTTATTCTAATTGCCTAAAAACTTTAGAGCAAAGCGCCGCTATCAGTAACGAAGTTTTCAGTCGCCCAAGCGGCCAGGTCAAGACGATATTGAGGACAGTCAAGCTTGAAAGCGTCCCAAACAGGAGAGTGTTATCCTAATTACTCTACAGCAGCACATGGCACGCGAAAACGCTCGATGTAAACATAACTAAACTCTTGCAGGTGGATATTGTATGAAATGGATCCCATCTGAGGGTCGAGATCACTAATTTGGGTTGGTTACACGAAAAGTAGCAGGGCGAATCATGTTATCATAGTAGTAGATAAACATCTGCGGCATCATTCGACCTATGGAAATGTTCAGAGGGTGAGCCTTTACGTTGCCGACTATACTTTGTGGCTTTAAGCACATTTGGTGTATAAACCAGATGTGGGAAGTTTTACAGGTAACAGATTATGAATCGAGCGAGTAGCAGTGCTTTGCAAGTCTCACCGTACTGCACATCACCCAATGATGGTTCTTGTTTCATTACTCTCAGGCCTTTTCTCAAAAGTGATACCCGGACTACTTCAGCCTATCCTTACATGTGCGGCAATAATGCATCAAGTACCTTCAGGCTACAGCAGGATCTCGAAGAAAACACAGTGTGATTCTAAAATGCTATTTACACTCCATCAATGCTCTATATACATCGTATTGAAGGCCCTAACCAGCGAACAAAAGAAAGAAGTATGCAGTAGGTGAGAAGTCAAGCCTAATCTATTCGCTCATGAGATCTCTGACCCCAGAATTTGTACCATGATCTAGTACTCAAGGTCCTTAGCATGACGCTTGGAGAGCTTGTTGAGGGCAGGTCCGGGAGTAGGGTAGCTGTCGAAAGACCTGAAGACATTGAACTGAATACCAGCGTCGTTCGCCTATATCGTTTCATTAGCAGATATCCCACAGAACAGGTATAATTTGAGCAGCGTATCTTACCTTGTAGAAGCTAGTAGCGGGAACACCACCGCTCAACTTCGTAGTTCCAGAGCCCTCAACCTTGACTAGATGTAGGCGTGCGAAGTTAGCTTATGTCTCACATGCGGTCCATACAGGGACACTTACGGTTGATGCACTGAGGGTAAGACTGGGCGCCATTGGCTTGACCAGCAGCGTGCAGCGCGATGATCTCGTGGCGAACAACGTAGTTACCAGGCGCAAGGTTGGGAATAGTAAGATCCCAGGAAAAGTTGTTTTTAATGAGATCATCAGTAGCCCAGGTGCCGGGGTTGCTTCCTGACTTCCAGGCGCTGGATTGGATCTTTGTCCACTGGAGGCTTGTGGGGCTGACAGAGCCGCAGTCGCCATTGCAGGCCGCGATATATTCTTGAATTGGGCCAACATGGCTAGCTGGCCAGGTGTCCCACTTGAAGGTGACTTTGCTGCCGGGCTTGACAGAAACGTAGGCGCCGTTGCTCTTGCCTTGCTTGTGGCATACGATGGACGCAGTGCCGAAACTGTCAGGGGAGACGAAGCCGTTGTCGAGGTTGTCCGCTTGCCAGCCGACGGTGGCCGGGATGGGGTTCTGGTACTTGAGCGCAGCATTCCAGCCTAATCAGACATACAAAATCAGTGTATGTCTCACAAGTATCTCGCACATGGGATTTTCTACCTTGGTATTCCTTGCCGTCTGCGATGACCTTGTCAACATGGCCGTGGGCAGCCGCAAGGGGCGCAAGAAGGAGGAGAAGGGAGAGCATCTTGGTGATTGTAGAGTGAATGAATTGTAGAAAGCGACTGTAGAAGATGCGTAGTAACTATTTGCTGTCGTGAGAGACCTTGAACCCGGATCTATCGTCCCTTCATATACTCTTCTCGTCTTCTAGTGGCCTTCTCCAAACGCCAGAAATTTCCCTCTACCAGGTACTCGCGAATGCTTGCAATCAATTTTTCATCTCCATGCACGAGTCGACCCGGTTTCTGAGCTGTACGCCATCCGCTCATGGAAACACGCCCTGGTCGCCGCGCTCTTGGATCATTGGAAGCCCAGAAGTGTTTCCAGTCTGGTGACGGCGTGAAACCAATGCGATAGGCCACTGGGGTTGAAATGACACTGAATTTAATATACCAGACGCAGCCTCGCCCGGGAACTGGTGATGGGTAATATATTGTCGGTTACGGCCATTGCCGCCTTCCAGGCAATCACCAACCACGTGCTGGTTTCAGCCACGACGTTGTGGTACTTTGTACACTTGGACTCTGGGCGATGTGGATCGCTCGGTGCATTAATGGGTCTGGACATGTAAACCCTCGTTCTCGTAGGAAATTTGCGTGCTCAAGCATTTGCTGTTGCGTCGCGTGTACATGCAGTAATCCTGCGGTTAACCAAATACAATACCGATGTGTGGCAATCACTGGAGCCCTACAGCTGCCGACATGCAGTGGAACAGTTACCCCACGGGGTGGTGGACATACTCGCAGCATATCTGCATGTGTTGCTGCATTCGAATCGATTATATCCGGTGGCGTAGGAAACCTTAATACGGCTAATCAAGATAGATTGAATACGGACCGTAGAACCGAACTTCTACCTAGTAGCGATGATTCATCACCATAAGGCTGGAAATGCGTACAGCTGAAACATCTTAGCACGTACAAGAGCGCGTGTCGTTCATGGAAGAGCTGGTACAAATCTCCAGTGCAGCCCCAACCTAATGCGCTTGAGACTCCAGGCTTTTTTGCCTTCTATTGTTGTTCGAAGGTTGTCTCTGCTGGATGCTGGACTTGGAGACCTGGGATTTGTGTTGCAAGATGTTCGTCGCCCGCCAGGTCTAGAGAGGTTCTCACTCAGAGTACGCCTAGCGATAGTGGAGGAAACCTTGGAAGCCTAAGAATTCGCAAGACACAAGACAACAGCAAACTTTATTGAGCAGAGCTCATTTCAGCCGTCTCTTCGTGCGACAGGACATGGAAATAGAACGGATATTTCTCTTACACTTGACGAACTCCGAAGGAAATTGCGCTCTTCACAGAACTTTTTTTTTTTAAGAAGTGCATCATGATATGGCGGGTTGTTGCTGAAGACTATGAGAAGGCGTCAGAGAAGAGAGACCTGGGCAGTCGGGTTCAGGCTCAGGAGGATTGCGGGAGCCCAGGATGCTGAGACGACGTGCTAAATTTGTCGCACTGCCGGACCTGACGATCTGCGAACGATGCGCATCTTTCAGGAACAAAAATTTGCGTCATTGAGTGTCGCATCTTCATATAAGAGTCTGGTATCCTCGCTGTTGACCTCAGAAGGTGGGGAATTTAGTGCTCGGCAAGCCTTGAGGGTGCGGGTGACGCGTCATCTAAGCTGAGTGAGACCGCAGCAACACCACAGGTCTCCCCAGCGAACATCGCCCTCTACAGCTCCGACAATACAGAAATACTCGCATCAAGATTGCGCCCAGGTAAAAGGAAATGTCGGAGGTGCCACCGCGCGCATGCCTGAGGAATTCGAAGAGTCCAAGAGTTGGGCCAAGTCAGGAGGTCCGAAACTTCTGGCTAACATAGCCCCTCCGGACTGTCCGGGAACAACACTTCCACGCGTGTCTACGCAACGGATAGGCTGGGGTGTTACGCGTTTCTGAGGGCCAACGAGGCCTTGGATCTGGTCGGTAGGTGGGGTAACTGTCTGTCCGAGCACGTGAAACTGTGATACAGCCAATAGCATGGTGAAAGGGTCGTATTCTCCTAGCAACCGATTGGGTCGAGGTTCGCAGCAAATGCACGATCTGTCAGACTTGCGGTTCCCGAAAGGATAGCTGCAACGGTATATAGGTTAGTGATCGGGTCACGCAGGGTCTCGCAACTCGGTGTTTGTGGAACGCTGTCACATCACACCATACAGTCTTGTCGTCGTCAGCACACCAATACCCATTCTCTCGGTCTTTTTCTTGTCACTCTCTCAGCTTCCGGAACCTCCGCGCATCAGGCTTACTCTCTGCCTTAGCTTTATTGATCGTGAGCGTGTCACAGCAGCATACACACCTCTCCCATCCTTTATCACTCGCTCTCGTCATACAAACACTTGTATCACAACATATACTCCCTCTCCTCACAACCAAGATGTATCTCCAGAAAAGGGACGGCAACATGGGCTTCGACATCGCCCCAGCTCTGATCATTTTCCTCGTCATTCTCGGAGCAGGCGCGCTCGTTTGCTGTGGCTTTGCCGTCGCTAGATTTATGGGTGGAGAGCCTGAAGATGAGTCAAGCCGTTTCCATCGGACTCCAGAACAAGATTCGTACATGAGAGAAGTACGAGAACGAAGCTGGCGCAAGCTTCCGCAGCTTGGATTGCCAAAACCCTACTACCAATCGAATGGTGGTAATATGGCTCACGCACCAATGAGTCCAAGGTAAGATGGAATAATCATCCTTACACAACCTTCCTGAGGCTGACTCGAACAGCGGAAGCAACACCACTTACGGATGAGCAAAGGAGCGACCCTCCAAGCTCGCTAAGGCGAATAACAGAATAAGCTGCGATATACGAGGGTCCTCCCAAGGACCCCACAACATAGCAACCGACGACACGACACGATGTAATGACTGAGAGGCATAACCTGCAGGTACACGGGGTCAAGTCTCACGAGAGGAAGTCGGCTTTTGAAGTGAAAGACGTGGAACGTTGATCGAAATATCTCCTCTTCCCGGACTGGTGGAATATGTTCGTCGAACTACTCTTGCCTCACATTCTACATCACACGACCGAAGTAGTATGAATATGGGGTTCTCGATCGAAAAGAGCCTATGTTTAATTCGCAACCAAGATGCCTTTAGGATCCTGGAAGACGGATTGATTCGGGATAGACAGCGATAGATCTGGGGTTGGAGTTCTGGTGTACGGTCTCCACAGGAATGGCTATTGAGTCTTGCAGGACTTTCTAATCCAATTCATTTGGAGTAGCATGTCAAGCAGTTTAGCGCAAACCTTTCCTATACGTCAAATGCTTTTGTCGTTATTATGTTCATATCTAGCAGTCAAGGCATAGACCACAATATTGTCTTAGCAACTAGGATCAAAAGATTTGAGATCAGCAACCATGAATTCACATGCTGTTCAAGCGGCGAGATAACACTAAAGGGTCAGCATGAGACGCCATTTATCACTAATGTCTAGAAAGGATGTCGCATTCTGTCTTTATGAGGCCGAGTGATATTCATTGAGTCTCGAGGTAATTGCAAAAAACTATTGCGAGCCAACGAATAAGATATGCGAAGGATCAGGAGATGCCAACACTAAGTTGGATCTAGCTTACAACCCATCTAGAAACTGCTTGTAGTTATCTTCCAGCTTGTTATGCGCACCTAAGGCAAAACCGGCGTCCAACTGCGTTCGACAACAGTTCGCGAGGGTTCGTTCTGCAGATGATCCCAGTAAGAGGACAAGCATCCCACGTGTAGAGTGGGTCATTTTACCGTGCCGACGGTTTAGTCCTGTAGCATTTGCAGCAGAGTGATGGACGCGTCGTATCTGAAGAAAGACTTCTTTCTCGAAAAGAACTTTCTTTTGTAATCTTTGTCAAAGGCGGAATCTCGGAGCTGTACCGGACTGAAGATACAGAAGCTGCACGAGGCATTATGTTCCCGGCAGTTTCCGTAATGCAGCCGATGTTCTTCATACTGGTTGAGGCAGTCAGCACACCATCGTGCCTCCTGGTATCTCCAACTCAGGATGATCGGCGCATTGCCTTGCAGAGAAAGCTGAAGTAGGCGGGGACGCTGCAATATGGTTACGTTGAATCAACGTTGCTCACCATCCACACAGTCCAGCCACAAGACCAGATATCTGTGTCGCTGTCAACTTTTAGGCGGTGACCATGATGGATGATATACGGGGAAGCGGAGAGTTCTAACGAGGCTCGTGACAGAAAGCGTTCTTCGTTTAATGCCGGGGCCGGGGCCGCTAACCCATTGTGGTTCATGACCCTAAAGCTCCTCCCATGGATCTATGCTGTCGAAAGTCACTAATCGTCATCGGGACTCACCGAAAATGTTCCTTGTGTATCTACCTTGGGCAAACTCAGGTACGTACACAAAGTGATGCTGTGCGTCTTTGTTCGGCGCCTTGGTGCCTAGGTGAGGTGCGTACCGCGTGCCATCCCCGCAGATCGTCAAAGCTTGATGCTCAACCACAGCCATGACAGCGCAAAATGTCGGCACTTCTCACATTTGAGTCAGTTGACAGACTTTGTACACAACCATCCGCAGACTGGTTACTACCTTCTTCTTCTGAATACCAATTTCCAGCCCGCTGACCGTTCGGCCCGGTTCACGAGCAAAATGACGTCGACGTGCTTTCTACCCCATGGGTCCATCGAATAGCTTCAGTGAACGTTACATCCGTCGCCAAGCTATTTTGTTTGCTCGTGAGATCCATAAGCGGGGTACATTTATTCGGAACAAAAAGCAGCGAATGCAGCAAAGGCAGCCGGCGACCATGACGATCCATGTGTGCCGTCATAGCCCCGAGGATATACTCTGGGGCCTTCCTCGCGATACCTCATGTCTTCAGTACTTCCTTTTGACATCCCGAGATTGGCTTGCTACCCTACGTCAAGATGCGCAGCCTCATGGTTCTGAGTGCACTCACAAACATACCATTGCTCGTCTCAGCGCAATGTCCAGAATACGTGGACTACGCACTCGAGGTTCATGAACCTTTGAGCTCCGGCAAATATCAGCTTGCCTACCAACGACCGTCTGAAGAATGTCGGACTTTCAAGTCGCAGGGCCTTGAGGACACTATCACACGCATGGAAGGTGTCATCAAAGACCCAGACCTGTACCGTCTGTTCCAAAATGCCTACCCCAACACGCTCGATACAGCAATCGCATGGAAAGGTTACGCAGCCAACAACACCGATGAAGAGTTAACATTCATCATCACAGGAGACATCAATGCGATGTGGCTGCGGGACTCGTCGAACCAGCTGCAAAGTTATCTGCCCCTCTTGAACGCCAGCAGCGATCCGAACTCGATCGCCAGCTTGTACCGGGGAGTCATCAACCTCCAGGCGCGATACCTACTCACAGCACCGTACTGCAACTCGTTCCAGCCGCCCGCCGAAAGCGGTATCCCTCCAGCTGAGAACGAGTCTGGAAACCAGGACATTGTTTTCCCTGAATATTCAAACAGCAGCGTTTTTGAATGCAAATATGAGCTCGACTCGCTTGCTGCCTTTCTACAGATATCTGCCGACTACTACGAAGCAACGGGAGATGTCGAGTTCTTTGGAAAGTTCCAGTGGGCCAAAGCTATCGAAGCGGTACTGGATGTGGCCGACGATATGATGCTTCCAACTTATGGTCCGGACGGAGCGGTTTTACAGAGTCCGTATACGTGGGAGCGAACCACGACCAGAGCAACCGAAACTCTTGCGAACGATGGAATCGGCAATCCAGTTGCCAACGGAACTGGCCTAATCAGAAGTGCTTTCCGACCAAGCGACGACTCCACTATCTTCCAGCTCTACATCCCAGCCAATATGATGTTTAGCTCGTACCTGGCTCCAACAGCGGAAATCATGAGTAAACTCAATAGCACAAGTTCCGCGGCGCTTGCGAAAAGAATGTCGAACCTCTCAGAGTCGCTACGCAACGCTATTGAAACGCATGGGACGGTTGATCACCCAGTATATGGCAAGATTTATGCATTCGAGGTCGACGGCTTCGGCGGGCGCGTCATCATGGACGACGCTAACATTCCGGGTCTCCTCTCAGCACCTTTTTTCAAGTATCCGGTTAATGAGGAGACATATGCGAACACACGCGATCTGGTGCTCAGCTCGACAAACCCATACTTCATGAGAGGTCCTGTCATTAATGCTATTGGTGGCCCGCATCAGGGACCAGGCATGGCTTGGCCCATGGCTTCCATTGTACGCATTTTCACGAGCGATGACGAAGGCGAAATTGTGAACGAGCTTGCTCAGATTGTGAGCAGTACTGATGGCTTGGGTCTGATTCACGAGAGTATCAACAGCTTTAATGAGAGTGACTGGACAAGACAGTGGTTCTCTTGGGCGAATGGGCTTTTCGGACAGATGATTTTGGACTTGGAGGAGCGCAAGCCAGAGATATTAGAGACAAGTTTCCAGTAAGTTGGAGGCTTTGATTGGAGGTCTAAATATCAGTTGTGCGTGCAGCATGCGTTAGTAAGCGCAAGGTTTCGAACGCCTGTATCAAGATGTTGCAATGCTATGCTAGTCATCAATGTTGTAGCACGTTGCTGGTTCCTGCTCAAACTTTACCCTGCATTCTGCATGCGTCAGAGCCTGGACACTGTGCAACTTTCAAGCCTTGATGTAAAAAGCAAATCATGTTATGACTGCATAACTCCTCTTTGAAACCTGGATGCTTTGCGGCCGAGAAAACAAATTCCGATCGCGTCCTACAAATCGCCAGCTGATCGCCCGTCCGCCGTCATGGCGGCGTAGCTGGAGCCGCTAGCAACTTGGTTTCTAGGGCATGCATTGTCGCTCATTCTGACGAAGATGGTTGGCAATGGCTTCTCCATGTGCAAGGCTGTGCCGCAACCGGCGCTAGGAGCAGGTTTGGAATTTGTGACGCTCTGAACAAAAACTTGGTTGGAGTGAAGACGTCGGGACCCGTTCGGTGGTGGGTCGCACCAAGTGCCGGTTTCGCGATGGCCGACAGTTTCCCCACGCTGTCTCCCACCAAGCACGGGTTGTGAGGGACGGAGAAGCAATCTGGACGACGAGCTTCCCTAGCAACGACAAGCCATGCAGCGATTGCTAATGCGCTATGCAGCGTTGCTGCATGCACCAAAGAAGCTGGAGGAACTTAGCGCGGAACCCTCGTGGAAGATGTCAATGCTGTGAGTGGGTCGCTTCATCTTCTCTGGCGATCGTGTCAGGGGCCCGCGAATTAAGCGGCCGTGTGGCGGTCGCGAGAGTAACCGCGCGCGCAATCGAGTCGTGTCTGGGATGCCGTTGGCTGCCTGCGACAGGGGAACTGAAGCAGCAGGCGTGGGATCTGCTTCCTGTCCGCCATCTCAAGATCCAGTTCCTTCACGAGACTTGCAGCCCGGCATGATGCTGGTCAGCCTGGCTTGACAAGTGAGGAGAACAGCAACTAGTGCTTCGGTCCCTTACTATGCATCGGTCCCCAGCTGACTCCAAATCTTCGCAGTCATGGACTGGACGGCTGAGGAAATGAAGGAGCTGAAGTGTCTCCTCTTCGGCCAGCCTCTGCGGCCAACGAGAGCCCATGACATAAGCCCAATAATGCGCCTCGAATTTGGCGTGTTTGGGATCAACGATGTCTTCAGCTGCATCTCCGAATCTTCGCTCTCAATTACCCTTTCCCTGCCATCGCAAGAAAGCGCCAGTGGCTGTCATCCGCTTGGTTCCTGCCCGACTAGCACCGAACTACATCTCCAACCTGCGACCCATCTTTTTGTCTCTTCTCTTCTCATACGCCCGTTACACAGCATTCACTCGCTTTTGGACCCTCCCTGATACCGTGTTTCACATAGACGATATTTCGGCGATTTGAACGTCGATACTAAGCGCTGAGGCTGCATCCTCCTCACTATATGCCAACATCAACCACAGGCGCTAATTCGACCAATCTTGGACCACTTCGACTGAGGCTCTGTCTCCACAATCCAACATTCACTGTCTGCCGGTGACAGCCTGCATAGAACATCCAGCCTCTGTTTGCTTCAAGAATTCTCCGACTTGATTTGATTCCTCGGATTGCATCGTCCCTAGTCAACCTCGCCATAATCGTACATACGCGCAGAAGGACTAGTTTCAACATTTCGCCAAACGCTTGCTCTTGCGCACCAATCAGCTAACTGCTTGCTCGACTTTTCTCCGGCAGGACCATACAGAAGCAGCAGGCTAAAACATCCAACTCACCGTTCTGCATGCATTTCTAAATCTGATACCTACGATTGTATGCGACACCTCAGAGGTGACCAGGGCTTAGACGCATACGCGCTTCAACGCCGTTGGTCTTTGCTGTTATCAGCTTAGGTTATCCCGACATCATGGCCATGGACAACACTACGCTCCACACCTTCCTCTTGTATGTCTACCCCCTCTGTGCCGCTTACTCTAAGGCAGTCACTTATTCTTGCATCAAGTCACTGCCCAGCTGCACTGCGCAGTGTAGTTTTACTCGGATCTTGGGACAACTTTCTGCGACCCTATCCATTAGAACTTGACGTACGCGGGGGCCGAAATCTCTGGAAAGGTTGCTTTACCTTTTCAGATATCATTTGCGACGGCGATCTGGACCAACAAACTCCAAAGCGGGACGGACCTCTGAAGATGGGTGGCACCTACTGGTACTACGTAAGTCTGCTGCTTTGTTAGATCGGCTCACTGATTGACTCTTTGCAGTACAAAGTAGATGAGGACGAAGAATGCCACAATCCGTCTGAGGAATCAACGACGTTTTGTCCTCTTTTGCCCGGACAGCGCCTTAACGTCCTGGATGTACCTCGCGAGGGGCACAGCCGTAGTGCCTCTGATACCTCCTCCGCTTTCACCCGGAATCCCAAAGATAGGTACCTCACGCCAGTGCCACCTGCAAGCCTAAGGCCATTACCATCCCCAAGAACCAGGTCTAGTGAAGAGTCACATGTCATGCCCCTACCGTCGCCTTGGACTCCAAAATCGGCGACGCATCCCCCTGCAGATGGTTTCCTGTCTCCACATGTAGTGCGCCATGCTCGAAGCGCATCAGCATCGCCTTATATGCCGTCGACACCTATCTTCCCGGACTTTAAGCTTCTGAAGGAGAAGCTTGCATCGAAGCGATCTGCATCGAGAAATCGCAGTGCATCCAAGACCAGGGAGCTAGACATCAGTGCGCCGGTGCTTGTTAGTGGGGGCGAGGAGCTCAACCTCATTCCATTATCAGTCTACCGACCGTCATTTGAATCTATCAGGGAAGCTGAGGGTGCGGCACCGCGCTCAGTGCCAAATATCCGAAGGGAGTTCTCCCCGTTGACGTCGCATCCGGTGGATCCTGATCATGATTCACTATTCGGGCCTGCCGAGCTACCCACTGTTGATGAGCGCCCTATCAGGCGACGTCGCTCGCATGTACCTTCGACTGTTATCACAAGCGAGTTCAAGGTTGAGCAAAGCCGTGTTCGTGCTAATTCCGCCGATACAAGACGGACCCAACATTACCTATTTTCTAACGATCCTTGGCTATCCTCGCCGAAGCTTCAGCAAGAATTTGAAGCCGAGGATCGAGTGGTAGAAGACGATACCCCTCCAGCTCCTGTACTATCACGACCGTCGACCTTCCTCGGTGCATCTGTTTCAGATGAGCGACCTACATCGAGTCATGGCAGTGTTCACAGCACGAACCTTCGACAGTCACCATTTGACAAAGAGCTCCCAGCACTTCCCCGTTATCTGATACCCGCACCACTCTACGCATGCAACGAAGCATCAGCCAGCGGAATACCAGCTGATGAACTGGAAGACGAGTTCGAGGAAGCTGACGATGACGAACGCCTTGACCACTTCAGCGTGCAATTCCAGGAAAAGGCTCGCAGTCACTTCTCCACATGGAGTAACGACTCCATCGGCTACAACTCCCCAACCTCGTCCAACGAGGACGACGAAGCCGTCTTCTCGCCAACCTTCAGCTCCCTCACCAGCAACGACAGCGACACCGATACTCCTCAAGGCCTCTTAATCCGCTACTCGTATGCCTCACCCCAACGAGTACAAACCGAGGCCTCAAAACATATGTCCATGACCCCCGAAATTCAGAACATCGACAACAACTACAATTATAATGATACTTCTTCCAACGATGAAGAAGAAGAAGACCGTCAATCCCCCTACCGTCTTTCAACCCCACCGCAACTAAACGAACTCCGCATCTCAACATTCGGCTCTGATCTCTTCAAAGTTGAGACTACCGGGCACCATTCTGATGCGGTCTCGTCGCGTCGGTCGTCGCGGCGCCAAGCTGCTTGTTTTGGACTTGGCTTCCAGTACAGTCTGCCCGAGCAGGATGTCGGGAGTAAAACTACCATTGAAGAGCCCGTCGGAGGTAGTGAGCGTCTCGAGCCGACGGTCAGCGTGAGGAGAGATAGGGAGATGAGTGGTGTGCATGCGCTTATGGAAGATTTCGCGTTTTTGGGTGACGCGGTTATTTGAGTATACGCTTACCCCGATTCCCATCCATGCTTTTCGGTACGCAGGCCGCGATTATTTATTCTCGCATATTTCGCTTCACCGTTCATGTTACGTTTTACGGCCGCATAGATCTCTTCCGGTTTTCAATTGCCTTTTGATGTACAGCATTTGACTTTTTTCTTCTCCTTTCCGCTTCAGATACCAACGACGCGACACTCAACGACATAGCAGCGCATAGGAGGAGTGAGATTGACTGGGTACGTTGTATACCACATACTCACAAAGACATAAATCTTTGTACAGCATCTATCCTACGAGAAGGGATGAGATACGGAGACAAGGTGAACATGTAGATTCAAAATCATGTTTTTTGGACAATGATGTAGTAGTCGGCTTTCGCGGCATGTCGCTTTCAGATAGCAGTATTACAGAATTACTTAAATGAGTCACGGCATTCGATCTCATTCGCCGCAATGTCTCGTTCATGGCGAAGTTTGAGTCAAAGTTGGTGGAGGAGCACAAAGATAAATGCATGGCGTGAGACGCACAAATCGGTGTAATCCATCTCATTCAGTTTTGTCTATCTGAATATACCTTTATACGAGTGGACCTCTGTGTTAAGGTGGCCTGAACGTTTTCTGTGAACGACTACATCTAAGCTCCACTCTACGTACCACGATTATGTTTATGAGATAGTGTAGTTCTCGGCAACAGACTTGACATCTTTGGAGAAGCTGATGTCCTGACCCATGGCAAGCAGAGTTACGGAAGACACCTGTGGCGTTCATTAGCTTCGGATGTCTCGTGGAGCATAATTGAAAACAACTTACATCGACATCCACGAATGGTGTAGCCTTGCTGAATCGAACGTTCATGGGGAAGAACTCTGAGTCACTGCCGGCTTGTGCCTCAAATTCGAAGCTACCAGAGCTGTTCGCTTCGTCTACGGCACCAATGTTCCACTCAATGCTATCGCCGCTGACCTCGTATACAGCGTCGAAACTTGAAACGTTGGGCTCGTCGGTCTGGTATGGAATAGTGACAGTGACATCCTTCAATGAGTCACCACCAGTGAGCTCGTACTCAACGGTGATGTTATACATGTTGCCTGAGTCCTCGACCCAAACGCGAAAGGTAATGGGCGGGTCGGAGATGTCGTCAGGCCGTGGTGCCAGCTTCCACTTCATGACGCCAATACCCATGTTAGAGGGGAAACCCTTGCTTGTATCGGCCAGCTGAATGACCTTGTCGTTTCTGAAGACGGTCTTGTCCACCTTGGGATGTGTCATCAACTGTGCGCCGCGAGTATCGCCAGTAGCCAGGTCGAGTTTGACTTGTGTGAAGGACGGGTCGGTAATCTTGAGTTGCATCTCGCCCTTGACTTCGAAGGACTTGAGGAGACCCTCGCGGTCCAGCCGGGCGGAGATGGTCTCGTTGGTCGTGATGTGTACGGCCTCGCGGTCAGTCGAGGTGGACTGGCGAGCGCTTGCTGGAGCGACTGCGGCAGGGGCAGATGGCTTGGGTGCAACAAGGGGTTCCTCCTCGGCCGGCGCCTGTTCGCCAGTGACTTGCTCGTACATGTTGTTGGTCTTGTTCTTCTTGCCGAGCTGCATGCCCTTCTTGCCCAGAGCCAATGGCTTGCTAGTGGCCTTCTTCTTCTCAGCCTCATAACTGTCGTACGTATCCGCGACATTGGTCGTGGGTACGCTGGGCGTGAATGCGGGATACGAAGGCGAGCGACCGCCCATACCGCTACCCATACCACTGCCCATACCGCCTCCCATACCTCCACCTGCTCGCTGCGATCTTGACATCTCCTTCCTCTGCATCTCGAGCTGCTTGGCCCTGCGCTTGCGCTCTTCCGAAGCCTCGAGCTCCTTATTCCGTGCGATGATTTCTTGGATACGTTCCTCATGCGATTCCATGTCTAAGAAGGTCTTGATCTGGCTCATGGTCAGGTTCTCCCTGTATCCCAACGTGACGATCTCGTCAAAGGCTGTCAGAAGCTCAAAGGCATTCTTCTGGATCTCGCGCTCGTCGAGAGATTTGCATATCGAAGAGACGACCTGGGCGAAGAGGTGCAACGTGTTGATGTCTTGCAGAATGTTGGATTGCAAGTTGGTGATCAAGACCATGTAGAGTTCGTCGAGGGGTTGGTATACGTAGCGCACATTGTCCTGTTCGCACGTCGTGTGTTGGGTTCCGCTATCGGCGAGCTTGGGGAAGGATGCGAGGAGGGCTTCGATGCGTGAGCGCTGCATCTCACGGAATTGGCGGGAGACAACCGCCTTGCCGCCTCTTGTGCATATTGAAGCTGCGAGGACCACCTGGCTTCGTCAGCTTGGTGTCGGTGGAGGGACGGGCGAGCAATTGTCTCTCTTGCAGTCTCATACCATGGTTTCTAGGCGTCAATGGGGGCTACTAGGGTACACGGTGCTGTTTAGAGTGTCGTGACCTGATATACAATGTCCTGGGCTTGAGGCCGCGTTGTCGAAAGTGGTGGGGAATATTCTCCGACGGGGAGTTGCTCAGGAACACAAATGCGTCCTTGGTGGGAAAGAAGGCAGAGGGAGAGATCTGGCACTGGGAACAAGAAGGCGCGGTGAAGTGCATGCAACAAGGAGAATTCAAGCTGGACAAGTAACTGTTCCCGCCCGGCTGCACCAGTCGCAACACCTGGAGGTTCCGAAGTGGACACCTATAGTCACGTGCAGCTTGCATCTGCCTAGCGCCAATTCCTCCATGGAGCAGCTTCCCCTCCCTTGAACCATCCGTCGACTCTTGCAGCTTGCAGCTTGTTTATCGCTCTACTCTTCTACGAGGTACATTTGTTGCGCTTTTACGAACAGCACATCTCGAAACCCGCGAGTTTCATCTTTGTCAAGTCGAAGTAGAGATCACCCAGGCCTCTGCTACTTGCCCGCTTCCGCCAAAGCACTTTACCATCCTAGCGCGAACACCACCGTGCTTCCTTTGTCCAATTTCCAGGCAAACCTCCTCACCCTTACCGCGAACAGGCTTCCACCATACCAGACCCGCCTGAATCACGCCGCTATGCGCTTCTAGCTCTTTTACAACCTTGTGCACCGATTGCAACCCACAGTTCGCTGCATCGCCACCCAGTGACTCGCGCCAACGTGTGACGCGCTTCTCTCACTCCTTTATTTTACGCGTCTAAACCAGGAGATCAACACCCTCGAACGCTTGCTTTGTACCGGATCGCAAATCATGGCGGCCGCAGCGCATACTGTACCAGGCCTTGAACTGTCGACTGTCGACGACATGGATCTGCATTCCGATGATGGCGGCCTCGACTTCAACGATGGTGACATCGAGTTGGATCTCGACCCCCCGCCTTCCCACACACAGGATGACGAGATGTCTATGAATGATGCAGCCTCGGCCAACGGCCTAGATGCGGAAAATGCACATGGCGAGCAAGATGACTTCATGGTTGACCAAGAGGATGTAATTGAGGAGGATTATAGCTACCAGGAGGATGACGGCGTCATAGTCGTTGATCAGCCAGAGCCACTCACCTCACAGCCTGTACCGGTCAACTCTCCGCCTAATCCAGTCAACCTTCCACCGATCCAGACCGATGCGTCGAATCAAGATGAAGATCTTATCGACTATTCCGAAGAAGAGGGCGAAGACTACCACAACCCCGAGCTCCGTTCACCATGGCTGCGACAAGAAAGCTACCATTCTGAAGCTCAAGACGAACAGACTAAGGATATCACTGAACAACAAGACGAGGTACCCGCTGACTTGCAAGCTTTGCTCTCGATGCCTGCAAACAATAAGTCGCCCAGTCCACTCGTGGAAGCTCGGAATCTAGCTGATCACAGCTCAGACGGTCTAGCGGCAGACGAACGTGCACACTCGCCCCTCCCACAATCTGTCAAGGATGACGATGAAGAAGGTGTCCGGAATGATGACGGCGATGACGACGGCGGTGTGATGCTGCCAGGCCAAGGAGAACACGCAGACAATGAGACACAGAACCATGATTCGGCGCATCAAAGCTATGATCAAGAAGCCACTACTGAAGGCAACGAGCACCAAGACCCAGAGTCGTTTGAAATCCCCTCTGTTACTGTGAACTACCAAGGCGAAGAGATGTGGCTGTTCAAACAACACGACTACGATAACAGTGGAGAGTGGCTCATCCAAGACATCTCGCTTGCAAAAGCTAGCTTGTCAGATCTTTTCCAGGCATGCCGTCTATCCCTCGGTGAAGATGTGTCAGGAGAGACAGAAATTGGTTTCAAATTTGAGCATCTACAAAACTTAGAGATCTTCGAGGATAACACAGCATGCGTAGCTGTTTCACTTGAACGTCTCGTAGGATACTACCATGCATTACATGCACACGATGGTAATGACGTGCCAGACTCGTTCTATATCTCCTTGATGTTTCGACCGCGCTTCGCTACTTTACTCGCAGACATTGCAAAATATGCCGATCAAGGAAGCGGCTATTCTGTTTTCGAGGCTGCTGTGGTTGCTGGTGAGACACATTTCGCTGGCATGATTGGTGGTGCTTCGAGCGATGAGCCCACTGAGTGGGGCACCCAGGAACAAGAGCAAGAATACGATGAGCAGCAAGTAGAGCAAGAAGACGATGAGCAGCAGGTAGAGCAAGAAAAACCCGAGGCGCCAGAGTTTGTAAATGAAGAAGCGCAGCTGCGAGAACTTGATGACGAGGGTGGTCAAAACAAAGAAAAGAGCAACCAAGAGACCAGAGATGATAAGAGAGAGGATGAAGGGGAGGATGAGGGAGTAAAGGTGCATGAGGACGAACACACTCCAGCCGAGCATGATTCTTCCCACGAGCTCGAACATAATGAAAAGAATCGTGAGCCGAGTGCTCATGAGGAGGAGAGCGTCAAGCACACCAAAGAGGAAGAGGCTGAAGTGCAACATTCACCTCACGAGGAGGAATCGACTACTGAGGAAGATCACAATCTGCAAGCTGCTAATCCTATTGACATTTTCGCAAATCCTCAGGGAGTAGT